TACCACACTCGCTCAAGACAAAGCACTCCGGGGGTCTGCCCTCCTCTCTACAAAACCAACAGCACCACCGTTGCAAATAGAAACCCGAAAGCGACCGCGTCCAGCCTGTTCTCCTATAACGCACGCGGTAGTTGCGTTCCTGAAGGGCACCGCGTTACAGAAAAATCGCGTTATAATAAATATAGGGTGAAGCATAGCCCGCGATAGTATGCGAGATGCGTACGCAGGCTGAACAAAGACTGAGGCGCGTGGGTAGCGTCTATATCAGTGGTTCTTAACCTGGGATGCACGCACCCCCCGGGGGTGCGAGACATGGCCAGATTTTTTGTCATAAGGTAAATCATCGAAACAAATTAAGCACGGGGGCGTACGTACAACTACTTTGTTTAATCAAACTCTATGTATTTATTAACATTATAATTTAACGATTGAGAACCAAGGGGGTGCAAGGCTACAGTGAAGGTTAAGAACCACTGGTCTAGAAGCATCCAGCAGCATCCCAATTCCTTGCAGGATGATACTACGCCGAGGCAGCCGTTACGACCGCTTAATTCCGACTCGCTTACGTTGGCTCGATCGCGTTATATCCAACTCGCATCCGCGTTATAAAAGAAACACCTGTTCCCTAACACATTCATCGCGTTATAGAAACACGCATTGTAGAACAGACTGTTACTCTCATTTCGTGTGTGCATAGACTCTGGTTGGCTGTTCGCGTTGGCAAAATGAGCAGGGAGCAAACCACCTCGGTTGGCTCTCTCACCTCAAGTTGTAGTTTGTTATTATTAAATTATTATTAAATTGATCCTTTTATGCAAAATGTTCCTTTCTGTGGGTGACAGTTCATGGCTTGTGGCCCCTAAGACATTATCTTCTCAACAAACGAGTCCATGATGATGATAATGCCGCTGTTACTTTGGCAATGGTGCACAGGGACAAATGTTAAGCCCACCACTCGTCAATAACATTGTGGCTTTAAACGTAAAAATCTTATCAAATGGGCAATTGTTCGGATAATGACCCTTCCTCATAGCAGGGCTATTGACGAATGTGGGGAGTTTTTTCCCCCCTCTAACGAATTAAGAAAAAAATTACTACAAATACAGCAGCAGCAATGAGCTGTAATTACAATTTTTCTCATCTAAATATATTTATAATGGTAATGTTTGTTGCAGGCCACTGGGCGTTTTGGGCCCCTGTGGGCTTGTGTTAGGAAATGTATGTTGCACTTCTTTCACGCCGTACTTAGCCAACAGTAATAATTGTGATTTAATGCAAAAAAAAAGATTCCTCTAATATTCCACAATTGCAATCGACTCCAGATCTGTTGGGCCCTTAAGTCAACAACTCTCTCTTGGTCAACGTCGTTACCGGTCTGGGCTTTTCCAAGCTAAATGTAAACAGGTTTACAACTCATTTCGTTACAACTGCTTTTTGTGTTTAGTTTGTTGTCCTTCCCCCACACCTCCGCTTCGCACGGTTGAATTTGCACGGTTGGCTATGTACGGTGTGCAAGAAGTTCAACATTCATACAAGTCAAACCTCCCATCACTCCACTGGCAGTTCCATCAGGAGCTCTAATCCGTTAGCCTTCTAATAGCCCAGATTTTGGGCCAACGTTGGTCTAACGTTCCATGTTGACCGGGAGTTCTGGGTGGAACAATGCTTTGGCTCACTAAAATGTATTTATCTCAATAATTACACTCATCAAATCATTGAGAGGTGGGAGTTTATGCTGACAGAGTGAAGCATATCAGTCTTAGACAACCTTAGAACAAAAAGAGTTGATAACAATTCGATAACAATGAATTAGCAACAAAACCACATCTCTCCAGAATGAAAGTTAAGACGGAGTGACATCTCTCCTTAATTATGATTCCCAAACACGTTCACGTAACAATCAACAGCAAAATCTTTACTCGGCTTGATGGCCACGTGATTAGAATCCTGCATAAATTTCCAGGTTCCACGAGACAGGCATACAACAGCCAATGAGAAACCTTCATTTCCTAGTTCGTAAAATATACATATTTTTTATGAACATTGGGCACTCAGGAATGTTCCAGAATCACATCAATGGGAACTGCAGCAGTCTTAACCCGTAAACACACAGCTCCCCGCACGTCCACCTTCATCGGTCCGTCCGACAACTGTAATGTACTCATTAGGGCCTTCAGCTAGGCTCTGGCAAATAAAACTATTCTACAGATAAACTCACGTCAATTGCATTCAACAATGGATGAGGCAATAACAAAAAGGCAAGTAACGTACCATATCTAAATGTGGAGACAATCTTAAACCACTTTTTTTTGGCACAAACATCCTTGTGGAAATCTGCCAGTGTGTGTGTGGAAGAAATTGCCAGCGAGCCTACAGGCATGTGGAGTGGTAACATTGCCCAAAGGTAAATGACGATTATCATGCTTTTTTACTTATCCGCAAAAGCCTCAACGAGTCTCACAATTGCAATGTCAGGAAACCGGCACACCTGGAGAAAACCCCACCACACACACACGACAGAGGGTAACATTCAAAATCTGAACTTTGTCAACTGCTATGTTCTTCCAATTTCACAGCCAAAGTCGACAACACCCGGTATTACCAATTTCCCATCCGAGTACTGACCAGGTTCAACCGTGCTTAGTTTTGGAGATCCCACATACTTCAAGAGTGACTTGGTTATATCCGATCAGGAGCCAGTCGTGCGATACGTAACCTTTCCAGGAAATAACCGAATGAAAACAAATCTATTTGTTTTCAAACAATAAGGGAAACAAGACACCTCACTTAACTGTATAGACCCTGATACTGCCCGGGATTCCGATATCTGGATGTTAGCCACGTAAAAAATCACCTCGACCACCCACTCAGCGATTCGATGAAATGTGAATCCTTACGATTCGGTGCCTACATTCAAGAACGCATTCCGTTCGTGTTGCTTTTGCCGTCTCGTTTGTACTTTCATTTTCTCCACGAGCCAAAAGTGTAACGCTGGCATGTCGGCTGGGTACAATTTGAACGAATCTCAAATATTTGATACGCATTTCGATTAATTGTGAGAATAAGAACCGACTCAAATTGATTAATGGATTAATCAATCTGCACTGAGCAGCATGAAGAATGGTTACATAACCCCCATGACCGACAGTGCTTGGTGAGGCCTTGATTCGGGAGTGGATTGACAAATGGCTGGACTCTACATGTTATTTAGAATCTACTTACAATTAAGCTAATGGGAGAGAGGAAAAAAACTTGCACACGCGAGACGAACAAAATAAGGAACGGTACAAACGGAACGGTTCTCCAATGAAACTGCGACCCGGGATCGTTACAATTCATGGAATCGCCGAGTTGGGGGCAGGGGACGTTGTGAATCATTCAGTGCCCACGTAACCCTTGAGTATTGTTAAGGGTCAAATGAAAGTGCCAGAAACACTGTCAACACAACTGACTGATACCTTCTCGTTGGAGACCACTTACGACTGTGGTAAACCTTGAAATGTTTTGACCAAAAAATAATTTTAATAAGAACAGCGCAAGCTCTCTTTTACACGAATTCGAGATCGCGCTGCCGTGTGCAATTCGGCACGATGTCCGACGTTTCGCTCCATGTGCTGGAAGCTTCTTCAATCAATGCAGTTCCCGAACAAGCCGTACGAGCGCAACCGCAAAAAAACCCTACGCAGCGGCGCTACTGACGAACGAACATTCATGCATTCGCACGGATGGATACGGCCGCTCGGCATAACAATTCATTTCTCCGACACAGGCCGCAAAGTGGACGGATAGACATGCCTTACCGGGCTCACTGTGGAGCATCTTCAATGGACGCCGCTCCCCGTGAGGACACGGTGAAGGGGTAATTCACACTCGATTTCACGTACGGTGTTTTAACATTTAATGAACGCAAAGCTCGCCGCGACTCCGCAACAAAACGTCTCGGCAAAAAAAAAAACTATCCGCGTTGTTGGTGCACGCCACGTCCCTCGGTCGCCGCCAAAGTCGGGGAAAAAGCTTTGCGGTCACCGAGTGGGCATGCCTCCTCAAACATCGCGTTACTCCCACGTGCGTCACGTGTTTGTAATCAGTACGGCCGCGGCAGCCGCAGGATTGCACGTGTCTTGTGTTTAGTTTGTCGTCCTTGCCCCGCACCTACGGTTAAGCACGGTTGGCTACGTACGGTGCGAGAGAAGTTCAACATACATACATACAAGTTAATGGGGCCATTTGTTAAACCATTTGGCCGCGCAACGATTTTCAAAAGCCAATTTATCAAATTCCCCTGGGGTTCGGGACCTGCCGCTGAAACGATGGCGCAGCAAGCCGAACCCACGAAACGTCTCATTCAAAACCATCCCCGTGTCAAACGCGCTCGCCGCCCATCCCAAGTGGAGACATCAGAGGGCAGCCCGGCGATGGGTGTGCGGCTGTGTAAAAACCTGACCGGGCACCGTAGCGGACCATTGTGAACCATCGTGAGAACCCTTGGCTAAATTCAGGGGGAGGCACTTAAGACATCTGTTCGGCTCCTGCCAATGCTGTGCTGTGGCCCTCAGGCCAGGACAAAAACTTAATCAATGAAGATCACTAAACGGTAAAATTGGTTTTACAATTCGGCAGTCTAACACCTAAACCATGAACGGGGCAGCCTCCGATACCCCGCCACAACCACGCTCGCAACAGTCCACGATAATATTCATGCACAAGGTCTTCCACGTGGGCCGTAGAATTGCCGTGTGTAGAGCTTGCACCGAATAAAAAAATACACGAGGTTTCAAACGAACCTTCCGTAGGATACAAGAGAGAGGCAAGCCACTCAGACACACAAAAGACAAAGATCCCCCCAGTATAGCCTTAACAGACTTCTGTGGCAAGTGCTGCTAAGCGAGCATCTATGGAGGCCGGCACTGCACACGAGGGGGTGGAAGGCCAGCACCATGCCCGGCCGCCTTTGTCTCCTGAGTGGCGATGTTTACGCACTGCACCAGGTACTCACTCGAGGCTCAGTTGACCTAGGGGAGGCCCAGAACCGGTTCAGATAATCGCAGGTGTTGGTAGCAGTGAGCGGGGAATCGAATTCGGGTCGCCGGGTTCGGAGTGCAGCACGCCAACCCGTTGCGCTTCCATTTTGCGCACACACACGAACACGCCGACCAGCATGCATTGCATTGAGCCAAGTTCTAGCATCCTCTAGTTATATTGGCAGACACTACTTTCTGGCTGAACACGTTCTGGGTTGCTGGTAGACTGGAGTCGGTGGCACGTGACGAGTAGTAGCCAAAGCCATGCCGAAAGGAAGTACATAGGTGCTGTGTGCAGAAAAATATTTTCCGGGTCGTTGATCCGGACAGATCTCGGCTGAAATTAAAGTCCGCTTATCGGCATTTGATCGGAAAAATCTACTCCCGCTCATGTCGTCTCTTGCCGAGTGTTCTCATTGCGGGTCAAGTCACTGCTTTGGATGGCGGGGGGGGGGGGGGGGGTAAAAAAGAAAAAAATCGCTTCCAAGTAGACCTCTCGTCGTTTTAAATCTGCGCCGAGGAGATAAAAATATATAATATAACAGCGGTGAGGCCGCAGCTCCTTCGCGCGTCATCGCTGGCCCGCGGTGGGAGAGAGGGCGAGAGCGGAAGCGACGACGCCGGCAGAAGAGTAGACACGGGAGCGTCACTCGGCGGCAGAGACCACCGCTCCGCCGGAGCCCGACAGGGCGTGGAGCACGGGCAGCAGGTAGCGCTGGTGCACGTGGGCGGCCACCTCCTGTGTGCGTCGAGCCACTTCCTCCAGCAGCGCCGGCAGCTCCGCACGCACCTGGAGAACAAACCGGCGTTGGGGGGTGGGGCGGACCTCGAGGGTGCCGCGGTGGCGAGATGTTAACTACCTCGCCTGGTGTACAGGAGGTCGTGGGGGTTCGATCACGACCCTGACGCCTGCTGTATCTTTGGAGTCTGCGTGTCTCCCTCCCCGTGGCGAGATGTTAACTACCTCGCCCGGTATACAGGAGGTCGTGGGGTTCGATCCCGACCCTGAACTCTGCTGCATCTTTGGAGTTTGCGTGTCTCCCTCCCCGTGGCGAGATGTTAACTACCTCGCCTGGTATACAGGAGGTCGTGGGATTCGATCCCGACCCTGACGCCTGCTGTATCTTTGGAGTTTGCGTGTCTCCCTCCCCGTGGCGAGATGTTAACTACCTCCCCTGGTATACAGGAGGTCGTGGGGTTCGATCACGACCATGACGCCTGCTGTATCTTTGGAGTTTGCATGTCTATCTCCACATGGTTGCGTGGATTTTTCTCCCCGTCCTCTGGTCTCTTTCCCTCAAAAATTTAGAATCAACATCATGCGTTTAGAAGTATTTGGCTGCTATACATTTCTATGTGGTAAGCCACTTCGTTGAGCTATCATTTGTGTCCAGGTCGCTTCTAAAAAAAGACCTATATAGCTCAGTGGGCCTTACCTGGTAAAATAAAAAAAATAGTTTGTAATAGTTTAGTTTGAACACATCCGCCGAATCGCTGTCACACGTAGCAGGACGCACATCGTGCGGTATCGTTGGCCCGTTGCGCGGCCAGGAACCTAAACGTTTACCCCAAATGAAAAATCGACTTGAGCTATTCTCAATGTATGTATTTGTTTTTACTTCTTTCACACCGTGCGTAGCCAACCATGTTAAATCGGAGGTGCGGGGGAAGGGCAACAAACTAATCCAGTGAAGCACGAAGGCCTCGCCGAACTGTGGTCGGTCATGGGGAGTTTTTCGGACCATATTTCACCACACCGGTCAGTGTGGGTTGGGGGGGCCATGGACCGCTTTCCGATATCGTTCGCCGGCAACGTCAGCGCGGCGCGCTCACCGCTGCCGCCGTTGGTTACCAAACGCTACCCCATCGGAGAGCGCCGGGAGCGTGCGAGTGAATGAGCGGGCCGCGGCACGTCGGGTGCACACCGTTTTGAGGCCGGCGTGCAGGCCCTCGGCTGTCCACGCGACGGCCGGCTCCACGCCGCGCGCCCACAGCAGAGCGCCGGCCCCGGCGGCCGCGTCCCAGGCGCGGGCCGCCCACGGCCCCAGGGCCCCGCATGCGCGCGCCCACAGCGGCGGAACGCTCTCCTGCAGCCAGCTGTCCCGCGCAGGACACAACCACAGCCACAACAATGACAACTTTGACAACTATGACGATGATGATGATACTGATGAGGTGAGTGAAGCAGCCATCGAGCGTGCAGGCGGTGCAACCGCACCAGCGTCTCATGGGGGCTGGAGATGCTCAAGCACCAGAATACGCAAGTTGGACAGGGGGAGGGGCCCCCCTCATTTCATCACCACTGATGATTCATTCCAGCACTCACTGATTCACTCCTGTCCCTCATCTGTGATTAGTCAACCTCACTCCTCTTCTATTGCTACGCAACGCACTCACCACACTGCAGGTCACCTCACTTCTCTTTCTGCTTCTTCCCTCGGTACTGCTCCACCGTGGAAATTTGTCCTCCCATCATCGTCATCGCGGCATGAGTTGGTATCCTCTGCGCACGCACGCTCACTCTCCCGCTCCCGCTTCCTGCTTCCCGCTGGTAGACGGCGCGCAGGGAGACCGTCTCCGGACCGCCACGTGGCCGATGGCATCCCGGAGGCGCGAGACGTGGTCCCGCTTCCAGACTTCACACACTGACCCAGAGTCCCTTCCGGCTTCCCCTTATAACCCCCTCCCGCGTCACCAAGCCCCGCCTCTAGCCACGCCCCCCCACGAACCTTCTAGATGGTACCCTACTAGCACCCTCGGGCTCCGCCCTTGACCTCTAGCCCAGATACTCCCTGTCACCCGATTGGCTTAGAGGCTGAAGCGGCGAAGCCTATCCCACCGTTCGGCGACCGTCAGCTTACGCATTACACAATGATAACCTCGCTCAATTCACGAAACGTGTTACGCTATTTATCCACGACAACTTTCACAGTGCTGTTTTGTTGCTGGTTGCTTGGCGTTTTGCACATTTGGGCCCTTGCTCAGAAACCAAAAATATCTTCATCGGAGCCCACGCTAACCACGGTGGGTCACTCGCCTACTTTCCGTCGACGCGCACGACCCTAGTGTGAATCCGAGTATTCACGCCGCCAGCGCATTTCTGTGTTTGGCTTCTTCCCCCCCAACTCGAGTTGACTGCAAAATTCGCGTTCGCGGCCAGAATTTTCCAGCCCAAGATCTGGAAACGCGAGATACTGGCCTGCACTCCGTACAAGCCGTACTAATAGCAGATGCTGTAGGCCCGTAGGTTCGGTGCAGCGTTAAAGCTAATGATGCACATCTCACCGCTGTCGGTGGGCCAATCTTGATCTGTGACTCGGAGGGACTTCTGGAAAAGTCTTACTCGGAAGTATTTCGAGAAAGACTACTTCGAGGGAGACTAAGCCGTGGTGGCGAGATGTTAACTACCTCGCCTGGTATGCAGGATGTCGTGGGGTTCGATCCTAAAGTCTACACAACGCCCAGCTCGTTATTCCAAATAAGCCTCCCATCTGAGTGCTTAACCACGCTAAAGCCTGGTTATTTGCACATGAGAGTGAGTGAGCGAGTGAGTAAGTGAGTGAGCGAGCGAGTAAATGAGCGAGCGAGCGAGCGAGCGAGCGTGTGACCTCCCACCTGTATCCCCATGCCGAGTAGAGAGTCGCGACGGCCCAGCCTCGCCGAGCGGCCTCAGCAATGCCCGTCTCACGCAGCAGCCTGGCACTCGTCGAATCTACAATTCAAACGCGTGGCTGAAAACACCTTAACATGCAGAGGACTGCTGAGCTTTGGCAATCGTTGGTAGCGACCGGCTCCTCACCGCCTGGCTGCCGCCCTCCAGCTCTGGTCTGAGGTTCCTCAGCGATTGCGAGGTGCCATTTAAAACGCACGAACTGAACGTCATCAAACGGTGCAATTACAACACAACGCAGATTCACGGCGCGCGTAAACGAGACCGTATCTCATGGCCTTGCAGGTAAACAGTGGGAATGTTTCTTTTGTAGAACCTGGCAGTCACTCAACTCTTTATGGTCACACCCATGTCTTCGAGGCGAAGGAGGAATGCCAAAGCGAGGCGTGCAATGTTTGGGTCCTCAACGACTGCGCTTCAAAAATAAACGAACGAGCGATCCCTGGGGCTCACCTTGCATGGAGCCGCTCCGCCACACGTCCTGAGCCAGGAAACAGCAGAGCAGGAAGACGCCGGCCATCACGTACCTCCTCCACGGCACCGCTTTCGCCTTCATCTTCTCCAGGAGCCCCTGCGCACACGTTGCCCGTGCGCGCCCGGGTTAAACGTGGTGGGTTGTCGGCAAGGCTCGCCGGAGCGCTCTGCTTAAGACGGTTCCCCCGCCAGCGCGGTTTTCGTTGACGCCGTGTGGCAGGAAACTTACAAGCGGGCAGCATTTTAAAAAAGCCACTCTGCGATTTTGGGGTAGAGGCAAAGCACAAACGATTCAATAGGATTCTAGCCAGGCTAGCCCTAACCACACTAGCCACTACTACCACCACCCATAACACCACCACACTAGCCAACCAGACACAAACACCACCTCGAACACTAACCACACTTAGCCTTACCCCCAAGCATATTTAGCCAAGACTCTAGCCCTACAAGGTGATGGTCATAACGACCTACTTCTACCCCAAACCACAAAGATCAACCAGGCTCAGACCCTGCCCATAACTATCGCAAGCAAACACAATCCGTAACCGTCAACACACGAGCCAACCATCCTCCGGCCATAATTCTAACCACGCTGGCCATCGACACATTGGCACTACCAACTCGGGTAGCTGGGTTGGTAACACACTGCGCTAACCACGACACCACCACCACCGTCACATGGATCGGGCCCTAGTTAAAAGCGTGCCGACGCCGGTTAAGCAAACACATTTGTAGTGCTAATACTTACGTGATCCGAGGGTAGAAATCAGGGGCGGAGCCAGGATGTTCAGCCCGTGGTGACATTCAACAAATTTTAATTTCAAGAGTGATTAGTGAGTCAGGCTGTTGAACTAGACGCCATCGGTTGGCGACACACTCTGACAATGCAGTTGCACCGAGTCCGCCAGACCGAGTGTCGTACACTTATACGCAGAATGTTTCAGATTTTCGATTTTTTATTTTTTTTCGGGGGTGACAATTGTCTACCCTGTCACCCCCCTGGCTCCGCCCCTGGTAGAAATACTCACGCGAACTCAGGTGACAGTGTTAGAATGGCGTCACGAGGGAAGAGAGAGAAAAGGCGGTGCGAGAGAGAGAGAGGACGCGCAGGGAGAGAGGGATTGATGTCAGCGGGTGAGGCAGGGTGATCAGGGCGCTTCTCGGAGGGAATCGGAGGCGGGTGGACGCGTGCGGTGTGAGCCCGCGGAAGAACCAAGAAAAGTGTGGCCTCTCGGACTTCGTCTGGCGGACTCTTTACACGCTTATAAACACGCAACTCTCATGACCGAGGTTATCACCGGGGTGCGCTCTCTGCGTGAACTCACGGCGCAAGCGGCGGTGCTCTCCTTGAGGCCCTCCCTGCGCCGGCTCTGCAGCGCCATCTGCTTGTTGGCCTCCGCAAACACGAGCACCGACTGGCGTAGCTCCTGCTGAGAAACCTGGGGGCAGGGGGGCGGGAGGGGCAAATACGTTCCACCGATCGCCGGCGCACGAGAGAAAGAAGATCGTGAGCGGAAGAGCCAGGAGGCATCAATGTGGCGCTACGCTCGGACGCGGTGCGACGAGACGGCCTCACCTTGCCTGACACGGAGCTCCAGTTCTTCAGCAGATGCTGCAGGAGGAGGCTGAAGGGGATAAACAAAGATAGGGGAGTCACTCAGGAGTCGCCCGGAGTAGACCCGCGTACAACGGCGCCTATGCGATGCGACCGCATTTAAAACATAATTCTAACCACACTCGCTCGCTTGGTATGCAGGAGGTCGTGGGTTCGATCCCGACCCCGACGCCTGAATATTTTAGGATTGCGTGTCTCTTTCTCCCCGTGGTACCATGGACTTTTCTCCGGATCCTCCAGTTTTTCCCTCCACATTTAGAATCAACGTGCGTTTACATTATTTGGCTGCTATACATTTCCACATAAGCCACTTCGTTCAGCTATCATTTGTGATAGCCAGGTCGCTTCCGAAGAAGAAATATACAGCTCAGGGAGCCTGGACCTGGTAAAAAAAAAAATAGTTTCAGTTTTTTTTAGGAGAGTGTGTGAAGGGGAGCAGAGTGAGATGAGAGGGGAGAGGTAGGAGAGTGTGTGGAGGGGAGTGAGACAAGAGGTGATCACATATTTAGTTTCACTCTCATCACACTGCACTCCACCGACTCCCTAGTGGGTGTTCCACAACGCTTCCCCCACCCCCCAACGCGACCGCCCCGCGCCGGCTCTCTCGCGAGCAGCACCTGGACGGCGCCAGGCGGTCCGCGTAGAGCCCCCTCCACACCGCGAGCGCCTCCGCATCGCCGCTCGCCAGCCCCTCCACCAGGCAGCCCAGCAGCTCCCGCGCCTGCGCAGAGCCGCGCGCCGTCGCGGCCAGGCGCGCCAGCAGCACGGGGAGGGCGCGAGGCGGCGCGGCGTCGGGGCAGCCCCGCAGCACCAGCTCTTTCAAGCGCGGGTAGACCACCTGCAGCTGTTTCTGTGGCCTGCGGGTGGGGAGAGCAAGGAGGTGGGGGTGGAGGGGGTGGGAAGGGAGGAGGGGGTGGGATGGATGGAGGGAGGGAGGTCAGCGTGGTGGGGGAGGCGGGTGGCGGGGGAGGAGGAGCTGTGCTGCCTCAATGCCCGTGTGAGCAGGAGGGGACGCGGGCTACTCCGCGTGCCCCGACAACACGAGGGTCAAGGGGGCATTGCTCACCCGGGGGCCAGGGCCGTGCTCGGAGACGCAAACGCCAGCTCGAGCAGGGAGAGGAACTGCTCCAGGGTCACGATCCCGAAGCCCCTGCTCAGGTTCCCGTGAGCGCTGCGCACCGCACCGAGGGAGACACGGTGGGGGACAGGCAGATCCGGGGTGAACTACGGTTGCGACCGGGCCGTTGGTAACGAATAACAGGTGGCGACGCGCAATGGCGGTGCGGCAGAGGGGACTCACTGCAGCAGGTGGTGGAGGCTGCTGATGACGTAGGCCGAGTACGGCTTCATCTCGATCAGGGGCAGGAAGGCTTCCACCCACACTGCGGGGCAATGCGCGACAACGACGACAACCACCGTGACGATGATGAGCAATCCAATCGACCGGCTCCAGTGATGTGTTCAGCGACAGGCCACGGCACCGCATAGCATTGGCAACCCCCCCCCCCCCCCCCCCCAAAGGACTCGACGGTGGACTCACGGCACCTCGCTCCACGCTGCCTGTGGAGCGACCGCCGTCTGGCGCGGCAAGACGAGCGGACGGTAACGAGCGACAATTGTAAGAACGCGTTGATGTTCGGTCTCACCTCGAAGTCCAACGGCGAGGTCGTGCTCCCCACTCTGGTTCAGAGCCCACAGCAGCGAGAGGCACTTGTTCGTTTTGTTGACGGACGCGTTGAGAAGCTTCAGGTTCTGCAGGGGAAGACACGACGGGGGTGGGGCGAGCTCAGAGATGGAGCGTCATACCGGCGGTGCACGAGCGCGGATGTAACCGCTATGGTGCTAAGAGTCACGGACAGAGGTGGCAGAGGCTTGGAAAGAGCTCTTCATATTGAAGACCAACGCGTGAGTGTTTGTATGTATGTGTGTGTGAGAGTGGGGAGCCGTAGTGCAATTGTTAGCGGTCTGCGTTACGAATCCGGCGACCCCCGTTCGATTTCAGCCCTTAAGACCAACACATCGTTGACTAATATCTGAAATATTTTTGGGTCTTTCGGTAAAGTCACGTAGAAGGGTTATTTTCTTTGAACCTATCTATGTGACTTTACCGAAAGACCCAAGAATATTAATTCCTGCAGTCTTTAGGTCAAGATTTAATATCTGTAATTTTCCTGGGCTTCCCATCGGTCGACTCGGCCCCAAATCAGTATCTGCTACCATGTGTAAAACTTTCCCACTGGGGAGACAAAGGTGGCCGGGCTTCGTGTTGGCCACCCACCCCCTTGTGTTCCGTGCCGGCCTTAATAGGTGCTCCCTAACAGCACTTGCCCCAAAAGTCTGTTGAGGCTATATGGAGGATCTGTATCTCTGTGTGCGCATGTGTGTGGGGGGAGTGATCAGCGGACTGACTTCCCGGGTTCGGCTCGCGGTCGCCCACGGCTACCATCGGCGGTGCAGGTCATCATTTGATCGGGGATTCTAATTGTATCTGTGAACTGTGTTTCACATGAGTACCCCGTACCTCCGTCATGTGCACCTCCACAACATCGGGGTACTCCGAGAGCACGAACTGCACGCACAGCCGGTAGCCGTGCACCGACTCCCCTGCAGGAACACAAAAAACAAAGATCCCGTGTAGCCTTAACAGACTGTTGGGGCAAGTGTCATTAGCGAGTAGCACAATACCGAGGCCAACAGGGCACAGGAGAAGGTGGATGGCCAACACCACGCCCAGCCGCTTTTCTCTCCCCCAATGTGGACATATATATACGTGATATTTACACACGGCAGCCCAGGACCGGTATAGATATTTGTCACTGATGTTGTCACTGATGTTGTCACTGATGTTGTCACTGATGTTGTCACTGATGTTGTCACTGATGTTGTCACTGATGTTGTCACTGATGTTGTCACTGATGTTGGCCGTAAGTAAGAATCGTACTCGGGTTACCAGTCTCTTAGCACGATGCGCTAACCACTGCGTTACCATTCCCCACGACAGAATAAACACACACACACACGTACAGCATTACACGTGTATTGTGCACGTGCACTGTGCACCTTCTCACACAATGACACACACACACAAACATAACGCGTGTATGCACACATAATACACGTGACGGGTCAGAGAGGCCTCAATCCAGCCTGTAGATAGATCATGGCTGATAACGATGATGATGCCGATGATGATGCAGATGATGCCGATGATGACGATACCAATGATGATTCCGATCATGACGAAGCCGATGAATATTACGTTGAAGACGACAACGACGACCACGGCGCTAACGACGATGGCCACATCAACACGACGACGAGCGACGATGAACGTCGAGGTGTCTACTACGACGACGACGGACACACCTGAGGGCTTGTCGGACTCGCGCAGCATCATGGCGAGGGAGTACTGCAGCAGCGTGCAGTGACCCCCACGGCCGCAGCGCTGCAACAGGCCCAGCACCACGGCTCTCAGCTCCCTCTTTGCCAGGCACAGCGGGTAGTCTGCAGGGGGTGGCACGGGGGCATTTGCGGAGAGGTGAGGATTTGCCTCCTCGTGTTCGGCGTGTCGTTCAAGCGCCACGCCCTCCCATCATCAACGTCCCGCACCTCTCGTTGACTCCGCCAGCCTTGTTGCGGCGGACGAGCCCAGGGGTCGCCCCGGCGGAAGTGAAGCAGTACGCCCCACGACGAGGTGCGCACGACACTGGCCATCGTCAGTAACCCACACCTCCGATTAGCACGGTTGGCTACGTACGGTGCGAAAGAAATTCAACGTACGTGCAACATACACATACGTAAGCCTCGCGTTATGTTTGTGCGTGTGTGGGTACCCGAGGGGGATATTTCTTGATGCAAGCTCCTTTCTGCAGTGACATAAGTGATTCGGCAAGACATCCTGGGACTTACGGATGTCTTGCCGATTCAAAGGCTGATTAATTATATGGCGACCCATATTTAAAACTTACAACTATTTTTTTTTTATTTTATTTTACCAGGTAAGGCCCATTTAGCTAGAAAGCTCTTTTTCAGAAGCGACCTGGCCACAAATGATACCGCAATGAAGTGGCGTATCACGTGGCAATTTCTAGCAGCCAAACACTTGAAAAGCATTTGTCTAAATGTGGAGGGAAAAACCGGGAGGACCCGGAAGAAAAAATTACACAACCACGGGGAAAACATGCAAACTCCAAATTATACAGGCATCATCAGGGTCAAGATCGAACTCACGACCTCCTGTATACCAGGTGAGGTATTTAACATCTCGTCACCGTGGCGCTGTGGTAGAATAAAAGCGGAATGCGACGGAATCACCGTTCTTGCTGATATTAGCCAATGAAATGAAGGGGGCGTGTCACATGACTACTCGATCCAAGTATTACTTCCCAATGGATTGCCAATGAATCGACCTTTCCAGGATGGCTGGCCGATCAACTTTGAGCGACTGCCAGATCCAATGAGCTCAATCAATACGATTAGCTTGATTCACAATCCACAATACCATATATGGGCAAAGATACACCCCTTCGGCCACACCTACTTTCATTCCATATATGGGCAAATCTCTGATCGGTGATTTCGTCGGGTGTCCGATTTCATTGTATTAAAAGCGTCCAGGAGGCAAGGATTCCTTAGCGTGGGCGTAGATGTAGGGAGCGTGAGACCGTGTGGGTAGCGGCTGAGTGCGGGATCGCTCTCGGGAGCTTGCAGCTTGAGGTTGAGGTATCCTGCGATGTCCTTCACCCAGACCGTTGGCTCCTCCATGAACATCGCCTGGGACTTGTCCAGCTGGGTTTTCATGTCCTTCAGGTCAAGCTGTGCCACATACACACACCACACACACACGTGAGATGACTCGCGAGAAACGAGGGCAAAATTCATGCACGTGCGTGGATTCCGTAACGCTTGCCCAACATGCATGTGTCATCCGAGGGATGCCATGAGCGGTGATGACCGATAATAACCGTTACGCTGTCCGAAAGCGTATAGGTCTTTAGACAGCAAATCATGTTTGCGAAAATTGCGCGTGCTGTGTATGTCATTGTCTTCACACGTTGACACATCTGACCTTTTCACATATCTGCCTTTACCTCTGTCCCTTCCGGGTCACATTGGCGACATTGCACTGTTCATGTAGCCTGTGAAAAGGTCCCCAAGACATGTGTGCACGTGGCAGATACATTCCACTCTGTTTATGGACCATGGCTTGTTTTTTTTCTCAAGCTCCCCAAGTGCAGGGACTTTGGCCAAAGGGGCTCATGTTATTGATCCAAAAGTTGGTTCACGAAGTTATATGCTGCGTCAACACTGCCACTATTTTACCAGATGGCACTGGAGCATGCCAACGTGGTGTGCATGTGTACGAAAAAGCAACACACGTGTCAACTCATCGTCAGCTATGACCTATCTACTGCTGGATGAAAGGATCCCGCAACCGTCGCCTTCTCTCACGGTCTCGCGATGCAACAATCCATTGAGCAACCCCCGCACAGGAGTCAATTTCGTGGCTCCATCTCTGTGACGGACGTACCGTTGGCCATCTAGTGACGTGCCCCTGTTCCACCCCACTTACATTTCTTCACGCTCAATATGATGCCTTCTAACCTACCTGTGTACCTCTAATCCACGTGTGTTCCTCATTTATTTCAGTGCAATTTCAAGCGTGCAGCTTCGCCACGCTTCTCCGCTCACTTTTAGGCTTTTGTTCCAATCTGTGTGTCAACTACGCCCATAACAAAAAAAAACACCAAGGCCCGAGTCCTCACTACAACCCGACCGCATCCCCCAGGCTCCCCAAAGAGGAGAACGCGCCCAAGTCACCGCGGAGACGGAGCGACGAAACCCATTCATGTGCACGAGTAAAACGGGCTGTGGCATAGCAGGGCCGCGATTGATGGAGCCAGCTCGTGGAGGCCTTGATCCGGCAGTGGATAGACAGCATCTTAAAATAAGTAATATTTTAAAAAAAACATTCTTTTAAACACGCTTTTATGAAATGTACTAGTAATGTAAGAACCCTACGACTCCAGGAAGTAGCCCCAAAGCTTGCCATAACGTAAGGGACCGTGGCCAATTACAGCCAACGTCAGTTGATCGTGGACAATTAGACCGAAGCCGAAACATAACAAATAAAAAATGATGTATAAAAATATATATTTTTTAATTTGTATGATAGAATATAGTATTGTCATCAGTATGACATAAGCATACCAAGTTTGCAGTCGATACCACATTGGGAAGTGGGTTAAAATTGAGTTACAAGATTTGAGGATACAACAACAGACAGAGTGAGTTAAATGAAAGCGTGTAATGACTATGGTGATGATGATGATGATCAGTGAGTCCAGAGGGACTTAGGGGAGTTATTCGAACCAACACGATAAAGAATGGAGTCGCTCATTGCTCTTTCCTCGCTTGTAAGTGATCCTAGCCCCCACCCCACCAACGACCCCCACATCCACGTGGTGACGAGCATTAGATAAATGGAGATCAGGCAGGGGACGATTGGTGGGGTTGGCATGAAGGTGGTTGCGCGAGTAACTTGGTGCCGTGAATGAGGCCACGCTGACGACGGTGATGGGTACACACTGCCATCGGACACAACAGGGTTCCCGGCGGCCACTCACCGCCTTCAAAGCATCCTCCAACGTGGCAAATCGCCCTCCCGACGAACTTGCGTCTCCGTTGGCTTTCTTGCTCTGCTTCGCCGATGCTTTCTTGATGTTCTGCTGCTGCGGCGGCGGTTGCTGAAGAGGCTGCTCCTTGGCCGACTTCTTCTCTCGGTCGAAGGCGAGCTCGAACATCGTCTCGCTCGTCTTGATGGGACCTGCGCAAGCCCGATGCATCATCAGCAGCATCATCAGCGGGGGGATAGTTGATATGTAGGGTAATTATGGAGTCGTAGTATTCTTAGTTTCCGCAGCAATCAGACGAAGTTTTACGTTTCAAGAGGTCACCAGATTAGAGTTACCTAGTTTACAGCGAGGGCCCTACAGACACGAAAAGTGAAAGATTATTCAAACGTGTGGTCCATCAGCGGCAAACGCCGTCACGAGCGAGTTTTTACGCAAAAGTGGGTCGAGGGTTGCATAGACGATAGGATGACGGGAAAACGCCGTCAAGGCAATGAGGAACAAAAGGGCCGAGCATCTGCTCGAGTTCGCAGTTGGAAATAAAAAAAAATACATTAAAATAATATATCTATATATACGTACGTTTTTTTCTATTTTCTAAAAGAAATCTAAGAAATGTGCGTGGAGAAAACCAAATGGTGAATTTAGATCGGAGATGGCAAACTTTGTTGTAATGGGCAACGTGTGAGTTCAAGATGCCAAAGTGGGTCCAACCACATTGTCCAAGTGGGACCAACCACATTGTCTAAGTGGGTCCACCCACATTGTCTAAGTGGGTCCACCCACATTGTCTAAGTGGGACCACCCACATTGTCTAAGTGGGACCAACCACATTGTCCAAGTGGGTCCAACCACATTGTCTTAGTGGGTCCACCCACATTGTCTAAGTGGGTCCACCCACATTGTCTAAGTGGGACCAACCACATTGTCCAAGTGGGTCCAACCACATTGTCTTAGTGGGTCCACCCACATTGTCTAAGTGGGTCCACCCACATTGTCTAAGTGGGACCAACCACATTGTCCAAGTGGGTCCAACCACATTGTCTTAGTGGGTCCACCCACATTGTCTAAGTGGGTCCAACCACATTGTCTAAGTGGGACCAACCACATTGTCCAAGTGGGTCCAACCACATTGTCTAAGTGGGTCCAACCACATTGTCCAAGTGGATCCAGCCACATTGTCTAAGTGGGACCAACCACATTGCCCAAGTGGGTCCAACCACATTGTCTAAGTGGGACCAACCACACTGTCCAAGTGGGACCAACCACATTGTCTAAGTGGGACCAACCACATTGCCCAAGTGGGTCCAACCACATTGTCTAAGTGGGTCCAACCACATTGTCTAAGTGGGGCCAACCACATTGTCCAAGTGGGTCCAACCACATTGTCTAAGTGGGTCCAACCACATTGTCCAAGCGGGACCAACCATATTGTCTAAGTGGGACCAACCACATTGCCCAAGTGGGTCCACCCACATTGTCCAAGTGGGTCCAACCACATTGTCTAAGTGGGTCCAACCACATTGTCTAAGTGGGTCCACCCATATTGTCTAAGTGGGTCCAACCACATTGTCTAAGTGGGACCAACCACATTGTCCAAGTGGGTCCAACCACATTGTCTAAGTGGGACCAACCACATTGCCCAAGTGGGTCCAACCACATTGTCTAAGCGGGTCCACCCACATTGTCTAAGTGGGTCCAACCACATTGTCCAAGTGAGTCCAACCACATTGTCTAAGTGGGTCCAAACACATTGTCTAAGTGGGACCAACCACATTGTCCAAGTGGGTCCACCCACATTGTCCAAATGGGTTCAACCACATTGTCCAAGTGGGTCCAACCACATTGTCCAAGTGGGTCCAACCACATTGTCTAAGCGGGTCCACCTACATTGTCTAAGTGGGTCCAACCACATTGTCCAAGTGGGTCCAACCACATTGTCCAAGTGGGAAGTCCTCGTCAAAGTGCCTCCCCCCTGCTCAAATGTCCGTTGGGCAGTGCGCTCATCTACGCCGGTGGTGTCAATTCCACATTGCCATGCCGAGGCGTTACTCTCAAGATTGCAAACACTCTCTCAAGATTGCAAACAATAAACAGGTAAACAACAACACCAACAGCGGGTAAACAATGAACAAATACCAAACAACACGACGAGGCGGCTGGCATACGGAGCTCTTGACACCAAGTTAACCAGCCCTCCCCCCCCACACTCACGAACCTAACCCGTGAACAAGCAGCAGGTGAACAATACTGAACAAGTAAAACAGAATCAACACAAACTTAAAAGTGCTCAAACGAATCACGGAGCCGTGCAAACATCTCCGGTGGCCACGTTGAGAGGCAGCGAGAGCAGGAGAACGGGCGCGGATCGGAGAGACCGCACGCGGGTTGAGCGACATCGCCACCGCACTATGAGAAAAAAATTAAACTAAACAAAAAGAGCTTTATAGCTCATCGGATTCCTCATGCAGTGTCAATAAATATTCAGATTCTGCCGAGAGAAGTGAACGGGGGGGAGGAGGGGGATGGGGGAGTCGCGATGGGCCCTGACGGTCGACATTAGAAGCGGAGCGGCTTGCGGAGGGCTTCATCCAGCAGTGGATAAATCTATCGCCGCTGGCGTTATTGCTGTTGATCATGGTGTTGATCGACAAGTGCTTGTTGGTGTGTGTGTGGTGTTTGTTGTCGTCCCGCTCACGCACCTCCGATTTAGCGCGGTTGGCTACGTACGGTGCGAAGGAAGTTTGTCGTGCGTACGTACAACAACAACATCAACAACAACAACACGTAAAGCTTGGACAAATACCGTGTCGAGACTGCCTCACTCACCCATCATCGGCCCCAGCGTCACGGCGACCGGACGAGAGGGCTTGCCTCTCACCCCATTCGACTTCTTTCCCTTCACCACCTCCCACTTGCCTCCTCCTCCACCACCTCCACCACCTACAACGATTTCACCGCCTCCGCTCGCCATCGCACCAGAAGAGAAAAGACAGACGCGCCGAACACCTGACAACAACAGCCGCAAGTCGTCGCCGTGAGGGGGAGAGCGCCGTGCTTGTCGCAGGTCGTGGCAACGTCAGCACGACGTTGAGCGCCGCTCGCCAGGCGGTGTGACGCGCGCAAGCAACGAAGCGGTGTCGGTCGCCATCTTTGTAGGGGAAGCTACCCCGAAAACCCCTCCCCACCTACCCACTGCCTGTGACGTCACTCAGTTGCCCCCCCCCCTCCTTCACTACCCGAAGCCCCTCGATTGCTTTTGGCGGGTTGGGTCCCTTACGAAGATGGCGCGGGTTGTGTGGTCGTGCTGTGACGTAGAGTGTTGCACACATTATATTATTATTTTTATTCGTAGTATGCCACGTTTGTTAAACTAAATACCCACCGGTGTATTAAATTATTAATACCCACCAGTGTATGAAATACCCACCAGCGTATTAAAGGTTGAGTTTTACAGTTGTACATGGGCTCAACCGTGAATGTTAAACAAATGGAATCACAAAACTATCTGATGATTGTACATCTGTGAATTACTGGGACGTCTGTGAAAAGGCGCTTTTAGGTCATCGGATCCCTCCGGTATAAATAAATATTCCTATTCCAAATCTGTATATTTTTTGCTTTTTTGTGAGCTAATGGTGTAGTGTACAGAGTTGCCAAAAATCAGGACACAGAGGGTTATTTTATTTATTTTAACACTGGCATTAAAACTTGTAATTGTTTATTTTTTTAAGATAAACTTTTTTTTAAAATCAAGATTCAAAGTCTATTTTTTTCTTCTTCGTTTTCAGAGTGACGTTTAAAAGTTGAACGAAAACTTGAACGAACAATTGATGAATGTTTTAAGATCACACCTGTATTCCTGTAATCTTTAAAAAAAGTTATAGATTAATATCAAAAGATAATTCATGGCTGCACAAATGTTAATGTCAGTTCGAACATGTTAAAATAAATTGAACATGATGCAGAGCCACCACGAGAGGGCAACGCACTCAACATTGAGTCTGCGGCAGGGCCAAAGCAGCAGTCATCATCAGCCATGCTCGTTCCACTGCTAGATGAAGAAGGCCCCTGCAGAAGCCTCCACCGCCACCTGTCAAGATCTTGCGATGCGACAATCAATCCGGCACCTCGACATTAAAACTAATTTCATAGGCCCTGTCCACTCGTTACTAAATGTTATCATGTTAAATGAAACGGCCAGGAACATTACAACAAAAAGTATGATTCTGCACATGAAAAGTCTGACAAGGGCCCATCGGAACGAGTGGGAAACTGTTGAAGGACGCAATAAATTGAAAAACGTTAAAATTAATTTTGATTAAAATAATTTAAGGAAAAAAATGGATAGGCCCCTGCGAGATTTGAACTCGCGACCCCTGGTTTACAAGACCAGTGCTCTAACCCCTGAGCTAAGGAGCCGCTCACACACGCGGCTTCGGCAGGGGCACTTATGAACCCTACAACGAACCTTACCTCGCCACGTATGGACACGTGGGGAAAAAAACACAGCGTATCAACATTGCCGTATCGTGCCAAGCTGAATGATATCTGGAACTAATTGAATGGATGAGGATGGTTGTTGGTCGGTGAATGAATGTTTGGCGGGCCGGCGGCTTGTGGCTTATGTTCGTGCGGTCTGAAACGCGAATTTGAGTCGACCGCCTCCTATAGGCCACGTGGCTTCATAGCAGCACCAACGCTGAAGAAGCCCTCTGGGTTTAATCTTCCACGAAGCTGCTCAGAGTCCACCCCTAAACCGCATCCACTGCACAAAACACCCTGGCAGCAGATACGGGATACCTGACGATACACAAATGGCACAAAAAAGATAAAACCTCTCTAGTTGTGGTGCGACTGTGGTCATCCAGAACAGACTGTGGTGCAACGTGGAACGACGCAATCATGCCCCGATCCACGAATACTAAGACGGAGACATCACGGCGGCACGCAAGACCATGTGGCATGGTGACGGCTTGGGGGTGGGAAGGTTTTAATGCAGCAGCGGATCGAGCATGGGTGATTAACCTATGACTTCTGGAAAGGGTCATTGACCTGCTGCTCCAAAACCAGTGTTGCGCAATGCGTTGGTGATCATCACTACACTAGTGCAGGTGGTGATCATCACTACACTAGTCCAGGTGGTGATCATTACTACACTAGTACAGGTGATCATTACTACACTAGTACAGGTAATCATTACTACACTAGTACAGGTGGTGATCATCACTACACTAGTACAGGTGATGATCATCACTACACTAGTACAGGTGGTGATCATTACTACACTAGTACAGGTGGTGATCATTATTACACTAGTACAGGTGGTGATCATCACTACACTAGTACAGGTGATCATTACTACACTAGTACAGGTGGTCATTACTACACTAGTACAGGTGATCATCACTACACTAGTACAGGTGATCATTACTACACTAGTACAGGTGGTGATCATTACTACACTAGTACAGGTGATTATTACTACACTAGTACAGGTGATCATTACTACACTAGTACAGGTGATGATCATTACTACACTAGTACAGGTGATCATTACTACACTAGTACAGGTGATCATTACTACACTAGTACAGGTGGTGATCATTACTACACTAGTACAGGTGGTGATCATCACTGCACTAGTACAGGTGATCATTACTACACTAGTACAGGTGATCAATACTACACTAGTACAGGTGATCATTACTACACTAGTACAGGTGGTGATCATTACTACACTAGTACAGGTGATCATTACTACACTAGTACAGGTGGTGATCATTACTACACTAGTACAGGTGGTGATCATTACACTAGTAAAGGCGATCATTACTACACTAGTACAGGTGATCATCACTACACTAGTACAGGTGGTGATCATTACTACACTAGTACAGGTGATCATTACTACACTAGTACAGGTGATCATCACTACACTAGTACAGGTGATCATCACTACACTAGTACAGGTGATCATTACTACACTAGTACAGGTGATCATTACTACACTAGTACAGGTGATAATTACTACACTAGTACAGGTGGTGATCATCACTACACTAGTACAGGTGATCATTACTACACTAGTACAGGTGATCATTACTACACTAGTACAGGTGATCATTACTACACTAGTACAGGTGGTGATCATTACTACACTAGTACAGGTGATCATCACTACACTAGTACAGGTGATCATTACTACACTAGTACAGGTGGTGATCATCACTACACTAGTACAGGTGATCATCACTACACTAGTACAGGTGGTGATCATTACTACACTAGTACAGGTGGTGATCATCACTACACTAGTGCAGGTGATCATTACTACACTAGTACAGGTGGTCATCACTACACTAGTACAGGTGGTGATCATCACTACACTAGTACAGGTGATCATCACTACACTAGTACAGGAGGTGATCATCACTACACTAGTACAGGTGATCATCACTACACTAGTACAGGTGATCATTACTACACTAGTACAGGTGATCATTACTACACTAGTACAGGTGATCATTACTACACTAGTACAGGTGGTGATCATCACTACACTAGTGCAGGTGATCATTACTACACTAGTACAGGTGATCATTACTACACTAGTACAGGTGATCATTACTACACTAGTACAGGTGATCATTACTACACTAGTACAGGTGGTGATCATTACTACACTAGTACAGGTGATCATTACTACACTAGTACAGGTGATCATAACTTCACTAGTACAGGTGGTGATCATTACTACACTAGTACAGGTGATCATCACTACACTAGTACAGGTGATCATCACTACACTAGTACAGGTGGTGATCATCACTACACTAGTACAGGTGATCATCACTACACTAATACAGGTGGTGATCATCACTACACTAGTACAGGTGGTGATCATTACTACACTAGTACAGGTGATCATCACTACACTAGTACAGGTGATCATCACTACACTAGTACAGGTGATCATTACTACACTAGTACAGGTGATCATCACTACACTAGTACAGGTGGTGATCATCACTACACTAGTACAGGTGATCATTACTACACTAGTACAGGTGATCATTACTACACTAGTACAGGTGATCATTACTACACTAGTACAGGTGATCATTACTACACTAGTACAGGTGGTGATCATTACTACACTAGTACAGGTGATCATTACTACACTAGTACAGGTGATCATTACTACACTAGTACAGGTGGTGATCATTACTACACTAGTACAGGTGATCATCACTACACTAGTACAGGTGGTGATCATCACTACACTAGTACAGGTGATCATCACTACACTAGTACAGGTGATCATTACTACACTAGTACAGGTGGTGATCATTACTACACTAGTACAGGTGATCATTACTACACTAGTACAGGTGATAATTACTACACTAGTACAGGTGATCATTACTACACTAGTACAGGTGATCATCACTACACTAGTAGATCACTTTAGTACAAATACATATACAATTTGATTCATATGTTGTTTTTAATGACTTTATGTGAACGAAAAGACAAAAATTCGCCCGTTTTCTCATTGAAAATAAGCAAATTTTAAAATATCACTGTCCTGGTCACAGAAGCAAAGTTTGTGGAGAATAATAGCCATTTTCTGTACTTTTGAGGGATAAGCAATTAGGAAATAACACTTACTACCCAGGAAGATATAAACTATTACACAGTGTAATCGTCACCGATGTTGGGCCGTGAGCGGGAATCGAACCCGTGTCGCCGGGTCCGTAGCGCAGCGCGCTAAACGCTCCACGTCGGCTCCCCACCAGCGCACAACACACACACACGTACACACAACACACACACACGTACACACAACACACACACACGTACACACAACACACACACACGTACACACAACACACACACACGTACACACAACACACGTACACACAACACACACACACACGTACACACAACGCACACACACGTACACACAACACACACACGTACACACAACACACACACGTACACACAACGCACTCACACGTACACACAACGCACTCACACGTACACACAACACACACACACACCGCACGTCCACTATTTAACTCGGGGACAATGCGATGCTGTTGCTAATTGATCTGTTTTCGCGCTGGGTCATTATCGGTGCCCTGTCGACGCAACGTGGCGCGGGCGTTCCGCACTCCATTCCAATTTCCTGCACGGTATCCGCTCCGCACCCACCACCGCTCCATCTATCACCGCGGTCGCGACCTCCGGCTCATGGCCCAGCGACGGGCCGCAGTGGTTTATTTTTTTGCTGCTGGAGGTTGTGTCACGGGTCACGGGACTGGGTTGGACCTTCGGCGCGTCCAGTCGCCAGACACACGAGACGCCAAATTCTACGGTCCGATAATCCGAGCGAGCTGGCACGCAGCGGTGGGCATTTCGCATTCCTGTTCGTGTGCAATTGTACAGACACCGCAGAGGGCACACTCGTGCGTCTGCGCAGTCGCAGATCCAGCGGGGTGGTGAACGGGGGTAGCTGCCCCCCTACTCATTGACATGTCTGAGCCCCCCCCCCCTCCCCACTGGGAGGTGTCTTTACTCGCCTGTCTCTAGGTCCCTGGGTGGACGTGGGTCTCTCTATGCGCCTGACTATGAATCTGTTGATGCGTCTATGGGTATGTGTATCGGTCTGTCTATGGGTCTGTCTGTGGATCTCTCCGTGGGTCTCTCCGTGGGTCTCTCTGCGTGCCATGGTCTCGACAACGCCTGGGGTCTCGCTACAACGCAACGTGGGTTTGTAATCGCGTTTTGAAGGCGTGGGGGTCTCAAACTCCACACGTTGGGCCTCTCGCTCAGTGCGTTCTCTGCTCGCATCCAAATTTGACGTTCACGACAAGGGTGGAGGGTGGGGTGGGTGGGATCGGGAGGCCTTCCAAGTTGATTTTTATTTAACCAAGTGGAAGAACTCTAGAGACCCAGGAATGAGCCCCATGTCTAAGAGTGACTCCTGTCACAAAAGAAAAAACGACGCTGCAAAGAGAAATGGGAGCAAACCTAAAAACAACTGCGACTTTTGGTTTGGGTGGCAAATTAATGGTTGTCTCAAGGCCGTGACGGCGTGCAGTCGAGACGAGTGTCGGAGTTGCAGCCAACGGAGGGAACGCGCCGGGAGAGATGGCAGCGGGGATATCGGCTCGTGTGCCCGGAGCCGAGTGGATCTCTTGTTAACATCGCCGGACCGCGAGGAGGAAGGAGAACGCCTTCATCCAGCAGTGGATAGATCATGGCTTGATGACGTTAATGATGATGATGAACATTGCTCCTGGCGAAGAGGTGGGCTGACTGGTGAGACGAAATTAATATGCATGTGCGGAGACAGAATGCAATAATATTTAATGTTATTTAATTGCATGATGTGTTTACAATTAAGTCCGCTTGTTGCGGTATCCGTGTGAGGGGTCAACGCGGAGAGCGTGTGGGCGACCGGGACTCCGGGAATACAACTCCTCGCTCCGATCAACTCCTCGCTCCGATCAACTCCTCGGCGATTCAGAAGGGTAAAGGCGCAGCCCCTGCACGTTCCTGCTCGCGCTAACTGCTGACGGAAGTGGCCTCCACGTGAGGGGAGCCTCCTGAGAGGCGCCACCCTCTGGGGCGCGACCGACTCCTGCGCTAGAGTACTCACACTTTACCCCACCACGCGCCATCTATACCGATCGATTAACTGCGGTGAGCTGAGTTGTACCGCCGGGTAGGATTTCAAGTGTTTGGTGGGGGGGGGGGGGCATGAACAGAGAATGAGTGAATACCAGAAGTCGGTTCCTGTGGGTACAACGCACTTGAGTGTTGTGGAAAGTCATACTATTTTGAGAGCGTTGGTCCAGAATCAGCACTTTGGATAGGTAAGTGACTGCCCATTTAAATAAAAGAAAACGAGGGACATCAGAACGTTAATTTCATTTTTCATCAAGGCCCCATCGTGTCATCAAGTGCAGTCACCAACTCTTAATCCCCCGTCTCTGTTCTGGCCTGTTTCATATGTTATGACGAAGATCCATTGCCCGAAACGTCGCCTGTTATACATTTTAACCTTTTTTTTATTAACCGCGCTGTTATTGACGAACGTGGTATCGTTTGCTACTCGTGTGTGTTGACACTCGGTGCGACTTGCATGCTCAGCTGTTCGCGTGTTTGCGTTCCGCACAGCCTCACTGATTGGTGACTGATGCAGAGGACGTTGATAGTGGCCGCGTATGAACTGCCCATGCCCTTTGAAAACAAAAACAGATGCGACACGTTGGCTCGAATATTTTCTCACGAACTTTCAGACGAGTCCAAAGCCGTCGCATCATTGTGAAGACCCGTTGATGTATTTATCGCCACTGCGACATGGTACGCAGTCAAACGTGGAAATATTTAATATTCGTGAAGGATTTCTCTCTTTTTGGGGGGTGGAGGAGGAGTGGGGCAATGGATGGACCATCCGGAATGCGCCACGTCTTGTCGCATATCGAAATCACCCGCAGGGTCGAACCGGGATATGACGGTCGGGCCAGACGAGTACATTTAACACGTAATGCTTTCCCGACCCAATATTCTGCATGATAATTTTGTAAAGTTTTTTTTTTAATTGGGCTATGTCGCGGAATTCTGCCGTAGACCCACCTCCAATCGACACGGCCAATTACGATCCTGCTGCTGATGCTGCTGTCTGTTTATTTTGGTGGTTGACATCCAACCGCCGGTGACGATGCGAAAAAAGTAAATGCATCGCCACGTTCTGTTCACGTGACGCTCCTTGCTGATCGGCTGTGTCGGGGGGAGGTGGTTACGACACATTCACATGGACGCGATCTCTAAGACAAGCCACAAGAAACAAAACACTTTATCATGAACTGCACAAACGTGTTTGTCCAGAACCGTTTACGCAGGTCGTGGGCGTGGGAGTTACATCAACTATATAAAAAACATTTTACCAAGTAAGGCCAACTCAGCTATACGGCCCTTGTTCAGAAGCGACCAGGCTACCACAAATGATAGCTCGATGAAGAGGCTTATCATCGTGTGGAACTTTATGGCAGCAGCCACATACTCGAGACGCACGGCCATTCTAAATGTGGAGGGGAAAAACCGGAGGACCCGGAGAAAAATCCACGCGACCACGGGGAGACACAAAAACTCCAAATATACAGCAGCAGGCGACGTCAGGGTCGGGATCGAACGCACGAGTTCCGCCATACCAGGCCAGTCAACATCTCGCCGCTGGTGGGCAATACAACTCGTTGTTGTATGGTACTATGCCCCCACGTCTATGCCCCCCACCGCCTTCACACACCCGCGTACTGACGAGCGTGGTGAAGTATGGTCAACATCCAGCAGCAAATTGCCAATAGTTATGTGCGTGCATGTGCATGGGGCTCCTCCGCTTGCGGCTGTGACTAAACGTAAACATTAGTTGACAGAATGTGTTTTCAACTAAATGTGTTTTATCATTAGCAACGACGCCCTGCCACCTTTGTACTCCCAGTGCTGATGTGGCATCATACACCACGGTAGATGCTTGATTTAACCATGCGGATGCCCAGTGACCATGTTCATATCTCACTGAGCCACTGATGTTAGCCGTGGGCGGGAATCGAATAAATATTCATGCGGACCAGTTCGCTTCACTGTTGGATTGAGATCTCCCCCACCCCTCCCTCCTCTACGGCCAAATCAGTGGCGGAGCGTTGCTTGACCATACTTCACCATTCAGGCTGGTGGGAGCGGTGTGAGTCGGGCGGCGGCGGCGGTGGTGGAGAGGAGGGTGGAGAAGGAGATCCGATTTCACTTCAGAAATAACTCGCCACTCATGTTCGCCGCGACTGACCATCAATCTCGCTTCGGGTCGTTGGGTTTCACAGCGCAGCGCGCTAACCACTGCGCCACCGCTCCCACCACCACCACAATCTGTCGGACTCTTGCACAATTCTCTTCCAATAAACTGGACACCGTGGCAGGGGGGGGGGGGGTGATTCGTGCTCAGCCGCTTGCCACTGCCACTGGCATCGTTCCTCTCTCCGCCTTCGGGGTTGGCTGTCATTCATTAATCCCCTCGGCAAATGTAAACACAATAAATAACTCGCATGAATAAATAAACAAGTTGCCGGCGCGTTCATCGCAGCGCTCGCTCTCGGGCTCGCTCCTCTTCGACTGCGACTCGCCGCGCGTGCTGCCCACGTGAACTCCACGCGGCGACTCGCCAGGGCCTAGAGGACTCTGCGGCTCGAGGAATCGCTCCGTGACATTTGAGAGAACTCCCCAACTCCCGACGGGGACTCGCAGGGACTCGAAGATAAAAGGAACTCAAGGAGTCAGAGTCGAGCAATCGGACTCGAAGGTTCGTAGGCTGATCGTACAACGACCGAGGTGGTGATTCAAGGCACCCCCCCCCTCCCCCACCGAGTCAAGGACTCACAGACTCGGGGATTGAAGGACTCGAAGGTTTAGAAACTCGGAACTTTAGAGACTCTCACTTGGAACTCGGGATCCGACTCAAGACTCGAGGAATCCGGTACCCAGGGAATCGGGATCCTCGGCCTGAGGGACTGTTGAGACTCCAGAGACACGTGGACCGAGATACTCGTAAGAGACGCGGGGACTCTGAGACTCGGGGATTGGAGAGATCCTGGACTCGAGAGCAGGATCTCGATTTGACGTGCAGGATGACGGAGTGCGGAGCGCAGTGATCACACAACACAGACTGAAGAGGTGAGTGCGTGCGCGGGTTCTCACAATCATCAGCAGCAGAATCAGCAGCAGCAGAATCATCGTCAGCAGCAGAATCATCGTCAGCACCAGAATCATCGTCAGCAGAATCAGCAGCAGAATCGTCAGCAGCACCATCATCAGCAGCATAATCATCATCATCAGCAGCAGCCGTTATAAGCACACAGACTACATGCAGTCATAATTGGAATATTTAACTATACTGGAGGAATCCGATGAACTATAAAGCTCTTTTTCCACAGATGTCCAGTAAAATTATGCTGTGACCAAAGGTGAGCTATAACTCGACGATGGATTAACGTAAGGGGAGCAGCTGTAGTGTCACGGTGTGAGCACACTCCACTTGCAATGCTGTAGTGTCACAGGTGAGCACACTCCACTTGCAATGCTGTAGTGTCACGGTGTGAGCACACTCCACTTGCAATGCTGTAGTGTCACAGGTGAGCACACTCCACTTGCAATGCTGTAGTGTCACAGGTGAGCACACTCCACTTGCAATGCTGTAGTGTAACGGTGTGAGCACACTCGACTTGCAATGCTGTAGTGTAACGGTGTGAGCACACTCGACTTGCAATGCTGTAGTGTAACGGTGTGAACACACTCGGCTTGCAATGCTGTAGTGTCACGGTGTGCGCACACTCCACTTGCAATGCTGTAGTGTAACGGTGTGAACACACTCGACTTGCAATGCTGTAGTGCGGTTCGATTCGATCTCCTGGCGCGGCAGTTTAAATCCACCGTACCCCTCCCCCTCTGTCCACCCAGCAGTATAAATGACAAGCGGCACGCCACAGGCGTACGGGAAGTTATCATGCCTTGGGGTCAAGTGTGCTGGGTACGCACACGAGAGACTCTCCACTAGGGGGACTCGAGCTGCCCCTGGTGGAGAGTCTCTCGTGTGCTGGGTACGCACACGAGAGACTCTCCACCAGGGGGACTCGAGCTGCCCCTGGTGCCCAGCACACGAGAGACTCTCCACCAGGGGGACTCGAGCTGCCCCTGGTGGAGAGTCTCGCGTGTGCTGGGAACGCACACGAGAGACGCCGATAATGAATCCCTACTCGCAGCCAGTCTATAGTAGCAGCGTTCCACAAAGTGTCCCGAGGGAGGAATGAAACTAAACTATTTTTTTTATTTTATATTGACTTAAAGCTTTCGTGACTGCAATAATTCATATTTTTTTGGGTCTTTCGGTAAAGTCACGTAGATAGGGTCAAATTAATAAAAATAAAATAAACAAAAAACTACTACGATCGTCATCAGGAGGAAAATTGTTTCAGTTTTGTGAAACTGAAACAGTTTTCGGTCGCTTGTGTTATGGTCGAAACGTGGTAGTTTTTTTGTTTATTTCATTTCAATTAATTTTAACCTATTTACGTGACTTTACCGAAAGACCCAAAGAATATATTTTTATTTTTCGCGGTAAGGCCCCACTGAGCCGTACAGCTCTTGTTTCAGAAGTGACCCGTCTATCACAAATTATAGCTGGGCGAAGTGGCGGCTGACATCACGTGGAAATGTACCGCAGCAACCACATGGTCTCTCTCAACGCGTGGTGTTCATTCTAAATGTGGGGGGCGGAGGGGGAAACTGGAGAACCCGGAGAAAAATCCACTGGGAGAGAGACGCACAAACTCCAAATACTGGGGAGTTCAAGCAAATGTTGAACGCTTCTGAGAATGTGCAACAATATCACGCGAAATGTGCTGCCTCCGGGCTCTAGAGACAAACTTGGAGAAGGTTCCAGGCCACGTGTTGACAACGATGGCGAACACGTGAAGACTCTTCCACTTTCTGAAGCTATTAACATGACATTTGTTATCATGTGTACGGTGTATTATCCGTTGCTATTTTTCCTCCCATTAAAAACGACAGTCCCATATATGCGCTAACATGTTTTGTGTTTGTTCGTTTGAAGCACCCTGCACACACAGCAAGGCGTCGTCACGCTCGGTGATCGAACCCACGTGGTTGACACGACCACCCTTGTGACGCCACAGCCGTCGATGGCAATCCTCCCTGGCTGGGAAATGACGGACGCGGGTGGCCCAGCAGAGCCGCGCGACCTGCCCAATGAGCACCCCGTGGTGAGGGCCCGCGTGCGGGAGCTCCGTGGCCTCGCCCTGCGGGACCTCCCCGGCGTCCCGATCTGCCTCGCCGACGATTTCCTGATGGCCTTCGTGCGGGCCCGTGACCTCGACTGCGCGCAAGCCTTCCAGGTGAGTCGCTCGATACTCCGTGCCAGGTGCGTGCCAGGTGTTGTGTGTGTGTGGGAAGTGGTAGTGTAGCGGGTAGCGCGCTGCGCTACGGACCCGGCAGCCTGGGTTCGATTAAGGCTCACTGCACGGCCAACACCGGTGACGATTATTTGAACCGGTCCTGGGCCTCTCCCCTAGGTCGACTCGATATCAAGTGAGTACCTGGTGCGGTGTGTAGTAGACATCGCCACTGTGGAGACAAAGGCACCCCCTCGTGTGCCGTTCTGAACTTTATAGGTGCTACTCGCTAACGGCACTTGCCCCTACAGTCTGTTAAGGCGATACGGGGGATCTTTGTCTGTGCTGACAGTGGTGGTGGTGGTTGGTGGCGTTGGCGAGCTGACGGCTCTGAGCACCCCCCTGGTGATATTGACACTGCACGCGACCGAGACGATTCGCAGTTCCAAGCTGCACCCATTGATACGGGCAGGGGGCACGCGGGGCTATCTGCAAAGTGTACCCAGAAGTGTAGAACGGAGTTCAAAATCATCATCATCATCCTCATCACTGTGGCGGTGATGATGATTTTCATGTTTACAAATCTGCTGCGTATGAGGCGAGTGATGGTGGTGTTGATGTTACTGCTGATGATGATGGTGTTGGTGCTAATGCTGCTGATGATGGTGTTGGTGTTACTGCTGATGATGGTGGTGTTGATGTTACTGCTGATGATGATGGTGTTGGTGCTACTGCTGATGATGATGGTGTTGATGTTACTGCTGCTGATGATGGTGTTGATGTTACTGCTGATGATGGTGGTGTTGATGTTACTGCTGATGATGGTGTTGGTGCTACTACTGATGATGATGGTGTTGATGTTACTGCTGATGATGGTGTAATGGTATTGTTCATGATGATGGTGTTGATGTTACTGCTGCTGATGATGGTGTTGATGTTACTGCTGATGATGGTGTTGGTGCTACTGCTGATGATGGTGTTGGTGCTACTGCTGATGATGGTGTTGATGTTACTGCTGATGATGATGGTGTTGGTGTTACTGATGATGATGATGATGGTGTTGATGCTACTGCTGATGATGATGGTGTTCATGCTACTGCTGATGATGGTGTTGATGTTACTGCTGATGATGATGGTGTTGCTGTTACTGCTGATGATGATGGTGTTGATGTTACTGCTGATGATGGTGGTGTTGATGTTACTTCTGATGATGATGGTGTTGATGTTACTGCTGATGATGGTGGTGTTGATGCTACTGCTAATGATGATGGTGGTGTTGATGCTACTGCTAATGATGTTGGTGTTGATGTTTCTGCTGATGATGGTGTTGATGTTTCCGCTGATGATGATGATACTGCTCATGCTGCTCATGATGCTGCTGACACTGCTGCTGATGATGTAGACGCTGACTCATTCCCACCGCTGGAGCGAGGAGTTTCAAGCCTGCCGCAGGTCACGACAGTCGCCTCCGTGTCTCTCTACTCTCGCTGCTGCTTATCTTGCTCCTTCTACCTCCACGTGTTGCTGCTCTCACGTTCAACCCCCGTGGAGCCTTCTGCTGACTGTGCTTGGTCTGCTGCCTGCTGATGATCATGATGCTGATGATGCTGATTATCATGTCACGTGTGCTGTTGATACTCATCATTGTGCTGCTGCTGATCACGCTGCTCGTGTTGATTCTGCGGCTGATGATGATGATGCTGCTGCTGCTGCTGTCTAGCCATCGAACAAAGACGGTCACAGGAGCGCGCGCTTCCAGATGCGCTTCTGCGGCCGTCTGGAACGCTCTTCGTTCCGATATTAGGAAGCCACTGGAGCTATGCACTTTGAACATCCAGGGTGAACAACTAATTTCTTTAGACCTGCTTCTTGTGTTTGGTTTGTTGTGCTTCCCCGCACCTCCGATTAGCACGGTTGGCTACGTACGGTACAGAAGAATTTCAACATTCATGTTGATTCTGCTGCTTCTGATGATGATGATAGTGGTGGTGATGATGATGCTGCTTGTGACGATGATGACGGTGGTGATGATGATGATGCTGCTTCTGATGATGATGGTGATGATGATGCAGCTCCTGCTGCTGCTTCTGATGATGATGACGGTGGTGATGATGATGATGATGCTGCTTGTGATGATGATGGTGATGATGACGGTGGTGGTGATGTTGGTGGTAACGATAATGATGGTGGTGGTGATGATAATGATGGCGGTGATGTTGATTACAGCTGCTGAGGAATTACCACCGCTGGAGGGAGGAGTGCTCGGAGCTCGTTGGGGACCTGCGCCCGGGTCCGCTGCTGCCACTGCTGGCTCGGGGCTACCACGGGGCCCTGGCACGGCCCGACACGCACGGCCGCACGGTGCTTCTCTACCGCGTCGGTGCGGCTCACGGCCAGCAGCAGCACCAGTAGCGTCATCAGCAGCAGGAGTAGCAGCAGCAGCAGCAGCAGGAGCAGCAGCAGTAGTAGTAGCAGCATCATCAGCAGGAGCATTGGCGTTAGTAGCAGCAGCAGGAGCAGCAGCAGTAGTAGTAGCAGCATCATCAGTAGCAACAGCGTCATCATCAGAAGTATCAGAATCAGCAGTAGTACTACTAGTAGCAGCAGTATCATCATCATCAATATCATTAGCAGCAGTAGCAGCAGCATCACTAGTAGTAGCAGCAGCAGCAGCATCATCAACTGTCTCATCAGTATCAGTAGTGGTACCAGTGTCATAAAATTACATAAAGATAAAAACAAATCGATTCTTAATCCGCTGACCTTCGAGCTAAACCGATGCGCGCATTACGTGCCAGTCAATGATTGCACGGGTAAACATCTTCGTGGTGTTTATAGACCAGGACTGGTTTCGACATTCAGCGTCTCGTCAGCAGCAGGGTCGGACTGCCCTGACGCCACGGGTGGCGTGCGCTCGCGGTGTTGTCGCGTGGCGCAGACCGCTGGGACCCCAAGGTGCACTCTGCCACGGAGGTGTTCCGCGTGAGCCTCCTCACCTCGGAGCTGCTGGCACGGGACGCGCGCACGCAGCTACGCGGCGTCACGGTCATCTTCGACCTGCGGGGCCTCCGCTTCGGCCACGTGGCCCGCGTGGGCCCCACCATGGCGCGCCGAATCGCCAGCGTCCTCACGGTGTGTGCGTGTGTGCGTGGTATCTGTTTTTTTTATTTTCTTTACTCACTCGCGTTCCTTTCTCCGTTGCATTCACCGGTAACCGCATGACAATCGGGACGGTCAGAAGCTTGTGTTTGCACGAGGCCAGAGGAGCGCGATGAGCTAGACGAGTCGTTTTCCAGGTTTTGCCGGCTTTGTAACATGCGTGAAGCAAGCAAATGTCGACCAGTACACCACGCGGCGTGGTGGGTTCGACCTTCTCGTGACCCTGGACAAACGAGGGCAGCATCTGCCACGGTGGAGTGATGATGATGATGATGGTGGTGGTGGTGGTCAGCAGTACCCCTGGACTCGCAATTTGGAGGGGGTTGATTGGTTCGATGCAATTTCCCTGCTCGGCAGTTAAACATCTTCATCCCCCGCGCCGCCCACCATCGTTAATCCATCGGCGGGGTGCCGCGTGCTGGTGGGGGAAAGTGTGGGCACTCCCACCTCTTGCCGACGAAAATTCCACGTGAAACGATGACCGGTTGCCGACTTTCCGGAGATGTTTCTGTAATCGTCATCGCGGTGGTGTCGTGGTCGACGCTGCCTGCACCGGCCCGGCACGCCGCGTCCGGTGTGCCTCTCGCGATGCGCCGTGGCCTGGGTCTAACCCACGGAGCGTGTGCGGCGGTGTGGACAGGACTCCTTCCCCATCAAGGTGCGCTCCATACACCTGCTCAACACGCCGCTCATCTTCCAGTCGCTCTTCGCCATCATCCGGCCCTTCCTGTCGGAGAAGATGTACTCACGGGTGAGGACACACAAACACACACACCAGACTCTCACCTCGCGCACTGTCAGGGCACCACCATCAGCATCATCACCATCATCATCATATTAACCATAATCATCATCATTACCATGATAATAATTATAATAATCAAGATCATCATCATCATCACCACCACCGTCACTATCATTGTCACAGTCATCGTCACAATCATCTTCACCATTGTCACTACGGCCGTGGGCGGTGACGTGGCCCGCAGTTACAATTGCAGCAGCGCCTGCCCTGGTGAGCGTGGCCCTGGTGAGCGTGACAGTGGTGAGCGTGGCCCTGGTGAGCGTGACAGTGGTGAGTGTGGCAGTGGTGAGCGTGGCCCTGGTGAGCGTGGCCCTGGTGAGTGTGACCCTGGTGAGTGTGGCCCTGGTGAGCATGGCCCTGGTGAGCGTGGCCCTGGTGAGCGTGACCCTGGTGAGCGTGGCCCTGGTGAGCGTGGCGTGGTGAGCGTGGCCCTGGTGAGCGTGGCAGTGGTGAGCGTGGCAGTGGTGAGCGTGGCCCTGGTGAGCGTGGCCTTGGTGAGCCTGGCAGTGGTGAGCGTGGCAGTGGTGAGCGTGGCAGTGGTGAGCGTGGCCCTGGTGAGCGTGACCCTGGTGAGCGTGGCCCTGGTGAGCGTGGCAGTGGTGAGCGTGGCCTTGGTGAGCGTGGCCCTGGTGAGCGTGGCCCTGGTGAGCGTGGCCCTGGTGAGCGTGGCCCTGGTGAGCGTGGCCCTGGTGAGCGGGGCCCTGGTGAAGCGTGGCAGTGGTGAGCATGGCAGTGGTGAGCGGGGCCCTGGTGAGCGTGGCAGTGGTGAGCGTGGCCCTGGTGAGCGTGACCCTGGTGAGCGTGACCCTGGTGAGCGTGGCCCTGGTGAGCGTGGCCCTGGTGAGCGGGGCCCTGGTGAGCGTGGCAGTGGTGAGCATGGCAGTGGTGAGCGTGGCCCTGGTGAGCGTCGCAGTGGTGAGCGTGGCCCTGGTGAGCGTGGCCCTGGTGAGCGCCCGCCTGCCGGTGTCGCCCACCCCGATAAACGCTCCGCTTGGCTCGCAGCGGACGCTGCAGGTCCAAATTCGCCAAATTTTAAAATATTGCGCCACTAAACAAGATCCCCCCCCCCGCCCATATAGCTTGAACAGGCTGTAGGGGCAAGTGCTGTTAGCAAGCAGCACCTATGAAGGCTGCCACGGCACACGAGGGGGTGGGTGGCCAGCACCACGCCCGGCCGTCTTTGTCTCCCCAGTGGCGATGTTTGCACACCGCACCAGGTACTCGTTTGAGGCCGAGTCGACCTAGGGGGAGGCCCAGGACCGGTTCAGATAATCGGTGTCGACTGTGAGCGGGAATCAAACACCGAGTCGCCGGGTTTTCGTAGCGTGAGCACTACACCACCACTCCCCCACACCCACCCAACCACACACACACCCACACACACACCCATCCACACACACACACTCCTATCCACCCCACACCCACCCACCCACCCCACACCCACCCACCCACCTCACACCCACCCACCCCACACCCACCCACCCCACACCCACCCACCCACCTCACACCCACCCACCCCACACCCACCCACCCACCCCACACCCACCCACCTCACACCCACCCACCCCCACACCCACCCACCCCACACCCACCCACCCACCCCACACCCACCCCACACCCACCCACCTCACACCCACCCACCCCACACCCACCCACCCCACACCCACCCACCCCACACCCACCCCACACCCACCCACCCCACACCCACCCACCCCACACCCACCCACCCCACACCCACCCCCACACCCACCCACCCCACACCAACCCACCCCACACCCACCCCACACCCACCCACCCCACACCCACCCACCCACCCCACACCCACCCACCCACCTCACACCCACCCACCCCACACCCACCCACCCCACACCCACCCACCCACCTCACACCCACCCACCCCACACCCACCCACCCACCCCACACCCACCCACCCACCTCACACCCACCCACCCCACACCCACCCACCCACACCCACCCACCCCCCCCACACCCACCCACCCACCCACCCACCCCACACCCACCCCACCCGCCCCACACCCACCCCACACCCACCCACCCACCCCACACCCACCCACCCACCCACCCACCCCACACCCACCCCACCTGCCCCACACCCACCCACCCACCTCACACCCACCCGCCCCACACCCACCCACCCACCCCACACCCACCCACCCACCCCACACCCACCCCACACCCACCCACCCACCCCACACCCACCCACCCACCCCACACCCACCCCACACCCACCCACCCACCCCACACCCACCCCACCTGCCCCACACCCACCCACCCACCTCACACCCACCCACCCCACACCAACCCACCCCACACCCACCCCACCCACCCACCCACCCCACACCCACCCACCCACCTCACACCCACCCGCCCCACACCCACCCACCCACCCCACACCCACCCCACCCCCACCCACCCACCCCACACCCACCCACCCACCTCACACCCACCCGCCCCCACACCCACCCACCCACCCCACACCCCACCCCACCCCCACCCACCCCACCCACACACTGCGAACGCGTGGCAGGACCCTCCTGAGAAATGGTCACGAGACTCTGCGACCGTCCGCAGATTCACGTGCACAGCGGCGACGCTCCGCAGAGCCTCGTGGACGAGGTGGGGCCCTCCGTGATGCCCGCCGAGCTCGGCGGAGAGGGCCCCAGCGTGGAGGAGGTGTGCGCCGAGTGGACTCAGGTGCTGCTGGGCTCCGAGATGGAGCTCCGCCGTGTAACGTCGCTCCACCACGACTCTCTGTGCCCCTGCAAGCTGCTGCTGCTCAAGGACTGAGACCTCCACGAGGTGTCGAGGGGGGTCGGGCGACCGTCGACGCCGCGAGGGACCACGTGGCACGCGCTGTCGCTTCTTTCCGGCTGCTTGATATGGGTGCTCAATTTTAACGACCTCAAAGTCTCATCATCATCATCATCGCCGCCGCCACCGCCACCAACGTCTCAATTTTGCTCTTCCCCTTGGTTTCTGAGAGCCGGGTGTCACTGCAGTGACTCACCCATAACAACCTCCCTCCTCCTCCTGATCACAACACACACGGAACTTTCTCGCACAGGTCTGTTCCCAGCCTGCTGCGTTACCCTATCCCACCACGATCTCTACAGAAGAATGGCCAACCGGCTTTTACATGTCTGGGAATTATTATGGACGAATAATACGAATAATAGTGCGTTATGTTTTCAATATATGTGGAATCTTATATATTTTTTAAGCAATTATAATGGAGCAGTATCGTAAATAAATAGACCGAGCACAGGTCGATCAATGTATAGATACCTCCTTGGTTTCTACTGACTCTTACATTAGTCTCAGCTGCCGATTTAGAATGTTGAAAAGTGATTGTTCCTACAGCTTACCGAGCGGAGCTTGTGAAACGATTGAACGTGAGGAATTGAGATGGTTGGGAAAGAAGATGTTATTTTGTTTAAACTTCATTAATTCCTGCCAGCTATATTAGTGGAAAGGAGCGCGTCCAACAGGACGTCCACTGTGGAGATGGAGCGATGAAAGCATTACAAAAATCTGCCGCTGGCTAGGTGGATGAATGTATCGCAGGCTCGTGAGAGGTAATGCGGCTTGAGGGAGGCCTTCATCCAGCAGCGGATTGACTCAAGTTGATTTTGTTTTTACCCGGTATGAACTCGGAGGAGACGAGGATAGAGGAATCTCTCATTTGCGCGAGTGATACGGGGCATTGGTCTGCTGCTAGTAGCGGGCAATGACTGCCGTCGTGTGGTCTAGCCTAGGGGCACCCCTAGTGGCAGCGGTCGCTGTGCATCAGTCTGTCAGCAGGGGGCGATGGCTGCTCTGTGTGCGTGTCTGCGTGATCGTGTGTTGGTGGCTCAGAGATGTTGACTCCCTCGCCTGGTATGCAGGAGGTCGTGGGTTCCATCACGACCCTGACGCGTGGATTTTTTCTCCGGGTCCTCTGGGGTTTCCCTCCTCATTTAGAATCGACATCACCACGCGTTTAGACTTTAGTGTATTAATCTGCGGTACATTTCCACATGAGCGACTTCTTTGAACTTTAATTTGTGATGGTCAGGTCGCTTATCAAAAAGAGCTACGTAGCTCAGTGGGCCTTACCTGTTAAAAAAATTGCATAATACCACACGGCAGTATTAATCGGGGCGGCCGCTAGATTCGAACCAAAAAGCACCTCTCGGCGAACGCGCTACCGCTGGTGCCACGTGCCCGCACCAGTCAACCAATCAGCTAAATAATTGATTCTTAAGCTACCGCGTGGCTCGCCGTCGACGCGATTTCTATGCGACGTTGTCCTCTGGACCAAACTGCCGCTGGGCAATAGCTGGCACGTCAGTTAAACTAGCGAGCGGTCCTGACCTTCCTCTGACCTTGCAGCGCAACGTGGGAATATTGGGGGGCGGGGAGCGGGGTACAAACTTCACGCTCTTAACCGTCGTTCTCATCGGACCAGCCATGATCTATCCACTGCTGGCTGAAGGCATCGGCTAAGCTGTCCGTGCCTTGCGATTCCGCGACGTGACAATCCCATCTCGCTGCGGCCAATTTTGACCGCTCCATCTCCCCGACGGAGGTGCTAACTCTGCAGGTGCTGACTCTGCAGGTGCTAACTCTGCAGGTGCTGCGCTTTACCCGAGCGCGCTGCTGCCGTGGAGCGCTCGGGCTGCCTCGCCTGTACGTTGTGTCACAAATTGTGTTTTAATGCACGGACGTAATTAAAGTATTACCTGATGATGATAATAATAATGAGAATGTAACGGCACCTCTTTTGTCAATCCACTGCTGGATGAAGGTGTCCCCCACGCCGTGTCGAACGTGGGGGCGGGTGGTGGTGGGTGGGGGGGGGGTTGACCATACTTCACCACGTTGGTCAGTTCGGGTAGGCCAACACGGGGACCATTCATCAGACGTGTGTGTATGTGTGTGTGTGTCTATGGGGAGCGGTGGTGGTGGTTTGCGCGCTGTGCTACAAACTCGGTGACCCGAGTTCGATTCCCGCTCACAGCCAACACAAGTGACAATTATCTGAACCGGTCCTGGGCTTCCCCTAGGTCGACTCAGCCTCAAATGAGTACCTGGTACGATATGTAAAAACATTGCCACGAGTAAGACAAAGGCGACCAGGCGTGGTGGTGGCCACCCATCCCCTCTCCTCGTATGCCATTCCGGCCTTAGTAGGTGCTCGCTAACAGCACTTGCCCCAACAGTCTGTAAAGGCTACACGGGGAATATTTGTCTTTGTTGGATGTGAGGGTGGTGATTAGTTAGGCATGGTGGGTGGAGTCTGTAACACCTGTTATGCACATTCGTGGCCACCCATCCAAGCTCCGAAGACGTGCTTTGCTTCCGAGATCTGATGAGATGCCGGGTGCATTGTGGGTGATTCCATCATTGGGAGGTGTCGTGTCATCATGATCATCAGCAGCATCATGATCATCATGATCATCATCAGCAGCAGCAGCCACCTGACTTTGCCCCAAAGAGGCAGGAGACGCCTGCGTAGCGCTGCTGTGCTGGTAATGTGGCACTTGATGGGGCTGCTTTATCGAGGGCGATATTGGCACGGAATAAAAATAAACTCCCATTGGCTGAGACTGATTGTTGAACGGTGGGGGATAAGGGGGGGTGGGGGGATGGGGGGATAAGGGGGGATGGGGGGATAAGGGGGGATGGGGGGGATAAGGGGGTGGGGGATGGGGGGGATGGGGGTGGGGGGATAAGGGGGGTGGGGGGATAGTGGGGGGATAAGGGGGGGTGGGGGTGGGGGGATAAGGGGGGTGGGGGGATAGTGGGGGGATAAGGGGGGGTGGGGGGATAAGGGGGGATAAGGGGGGATGACTCCGGACCGAGCGGCCCCAGCCACCTCGTGCGCCTTGCCACTCGATGCGTTTCGGAATTCGGCAACCGTCACTTTTATTGACAACAGCGACAACCCCACACCCACCCCCCACATCCATTCACACGGTACTCAGCCCTGGCGGGAGGAAGGAGTTGGGGGGGGGGGAGGAAGGAGTTGGGGGGGGGAGGAAGGAGTTGGGGAGGGGGAAGGAGTTGCCTCTCTCCCCTGCCTCTCCCCCCTGCCTCTCTCCCTGCCTCTCCCCCTGCCTCTCCCCCCTGCCTCTCTCCCTGCCTCTCCCCCTGCCTCTCCCCCTTGCCTCTCTCCCCTGCCTCTCCCCCTTGCCTCTATCCCCTGCCTCTCCCCCTTGCCTCCCTCCCCTGCCTCTCCCCCTTGCCTCTCCCCCTTGCCTCTCTCCTTGCCTCTCTCCCCTGCCTCTCCCCCTTGCCTCTCTCCCCTGCCTCTCCCCCTTGCCTCTCTCCCCTGCCTCTCCCCCTTGCCTCTCTCCCCTGCCTCTCCCCCTTGCCTCTATCCCCTGCCTCTCCCCCTTGCCTCCCTCCCCTGCCTCTCCCCCTTGCCTCTCCCCCTTGCCTCTCCCCCTTGCCTCTCTCCTTGCCTCTCTCCCCTGCCTCTCCCCCTGCCTCTCTCCCTGCCTCTCCCCCTGCCTCTCCCCCTGCCTCTCCCCCTTGCCTCTCTCCCCTGCCTCTCCCCCTTGCCTCTCTCCCCTGCCTCTCCCCCTGCCTCTCCCCTTGCCTCTCCCCCTGCCTCTCCCCCTGCCTCTCTCCCTGCCTCTCCCCCTGCCTCTCCCCTTGCCTCTCTCCCTGCCTCTCCCCCTGCCTCTCCCCTTGCCTCTCTCCCTGCCTCTCCCCCTGCCTCTCTCCCTGCCTCTCCCCCTGCCTCTCCCCTTGCCTCTCTCCCTGCCTCTCCCCCTGCCTCTCCCCCTGCCTCTCCCCCTGCCTCTCCTCCGCCTCCGCGCCTCTCGCCCAGCCTGGGTCTCCAACCGCCTCGTGGACCGAGAAGTTGAAGGGCGATCAGCAAAGTGGAAAAAGTCGCTAATGGGGTTTGGTGGCGAGTTAATTGTCTCGGTAGCGAGAGTGGCTAGGGCTAGAGTGAGTGTGTGTGTTTGAACAGTGTGGTTAGGGCAAGTATGTTATTGAATAGTGTGGTTAGGTAATAGCTATTGTGTGTGTGCTTGAATTAGTGTGATTAGGGTTACGGATTGCGTTTGGATAGTATTGACAGAGTTTGTCTGGGTGACTAGTCAGGGTTATGGCTAGTGTCTGGGTGACTAGTCAGGGTTATGGCTAGTGTCTGGGTGACTAGTCAGGGTTATGGCTAGTGTCTGGGTGACTAGTCAGGGTTATGGCTAGTGTCTGGGTGACTAGTCAGGGTTATGGCTAGTGTCTGGGTGACTAGTCAGGGTTCGTGCTAGGCATGGGGACTTGCATCTTCTCCACTGGCTGCGTCTGCTCACCCCAGTGCACGTGCCTGCTGCTTCTGCTGCTGTGACCAAACACGCAGCCCGCTGCCCGCCCGCCCGCCCGCTGCTCGCCGACGAACCTCATGAGCACACGTGGGCAGGGCCGTCCATGGTGGGGGGGGGGGCGACGGGGGTTTGGGTGGCCCCGGGCAAACCCATCACCGTCCGTGCGGGTTCCCTCCGGGCGCCTTCAAACTCAACCCGAGGTGTTATATCTGACACGACCGTGAGGTCGAAGCGCGCTCACACCCTCCCCCCCCCCCAAAGCGCGGGGCACGGGGCGGTCGCCACGATTTTCCGTGCACGCAAGGGGACAACCTCTGGGCACGACCAACGACTGCTCCATCGACTCCGTCCGTCCTCCGTCAGCCATGGACGAAGCGAATCGACCCCAGAGCCCCTCGCGGGCGCGTCCCCGTCCCAAGCCGCACGCTCCCGACAGAGAAAATGCCAAGGCATCATTTGTTATATTCGTCGAGAGGAACATGTCAAAACGAAATTGGAAATATGCAAGACAATTTACATGTCGGGCTAATAATAGTAATCGGTTCGTAATGTGGCGAAGTCGTGTTTAACTTTAAATGTATATATTTTAAATACGCGCGTGTGTGTTTTCATGTGTGTGAGATGCACCGCGCTATTAGACCCAGATTCGTCTGGGTTCGATTCTCGGCCACGGCAAACATCAGTGACGAGTGATGTCAAAACCCTGCCCTGGGACCCCCCTTTCCCCCACTACTCCGTCGACTCGGCCTCAATTGAGTCACCTGGTGCGGTGTGTAAACAATTGCTTAACATCGGCGCTGGGTATAGAAAGACAAAGGCGGCCGGGCGTGGTTTCTTGCTGCACCACCACGTCGTAGCCTTAATAGGTGCTCGCTAACAGCACTTACTCAAATATTCTGTATGGCTATACGGTGAGAAGGGGTCTCTTGTATGGGTAGTTCGTGTCACGAACACCCCCATTACACATGGTACATCCCACAGCCACGTCTGAAACGCCATAGAATCACGGCATGTACCATTGTATGTACAGGTTGAAGGGGGGGGGAGGGTGGCGGGGTTAGGCCAGGCATTTACAATTATTATTAAGTAGTCTTAATCAGGGATGCCCCCTGTGTTGCAATGGTCAGCACAATCGACTTGTAAGCCTCAAGTCACGGGGGAGGGGGGGGCGGGGAATGATTCTTAAACCCCCCACCGCAGTGTTCTGTCCGCCGAGCCAAGTGGTGGCACTGGCAAGTCGCGTGTGATGGGGCAGAGTGTGGGGACTCCCAGCTCCTCCACGAGACGTCTCGCCAGCGTGAAAAGACAAATAAAGCCCCCCCCACCACCCCTGCACGCCCCCCTCTTAAGAGAGAGGAGCTCCCTCGAGCTTCTTATCGTGGATCCCCTCGCTCCAGCAGCGGCGTTTTAGAAAGCACTTGCGGGGCTGCGCCTGTGCAGTCACCACGGCCACTCCCCCCGCCTTCTGCGCGTCTCTCTCGCGAAGCGTCCGCGGCGGGGCGCGTGGGGTGGTTCGGCCAACTTCATAGCACGAGGGAAGTAGTTCGGCATGAATTCCGCATCCCTAAGATGTTAGTTACAATTCCAGTCCACCCACGCCGCCACCACAACCTTCACCAGCAGCAGCAGCAGCATAGTCTATCGATTGAGTCATTATCATCATCATCAGCAGCAGGAGGAGGAGCAGCGTTTGGTCAATCCATTGTTGGAAGACAATCTCCCCAAGCCGCCTCCATCTGTGTGATCGAGATGCGATTTCGATATCTTCTGCTGCTTTAGCTGCTGTTTGTTGTTGTTCTTGTTATTGGGTGCAGTTGTGAACAACAGCCATGTGAGACATGAGTACATCCTATCGGCATAATCATTGGTTCACTGCAGCTCAAAGACTCCGCCCCTACGAGGCGCGTGGTGAGGTTAGGAGATGTCCACGTGCGCGGCATTTGAAGGTCCGCAGACCGGGATCGGTGACCTCGCCGACAATTCTGTTCATCGGGGAGGGAAGTTCCATATCTGGACAGCGGAGTGAAGGAGGATGGAGCTTCTGTCCAGGGAGCAATGTTGTTACGGGCGTCCCGTGATGATTCCGTTTCGTGTAAAAAAATAAAATAAAAACGTGTTCAAAGGTTCGTTCCATGTGGGGTCTTTGGCGAAGACGTGGGCGCGATGGGACTTGGGCCGTCCCGTCACCGTTCCCGTTAAAAATGACTCACTCGTTAATTGATTAGTTCGTTCGTGGATTGATCAATGCTTGCTTGGTTGATCAGTTAGTTGATCATCTGGTTAGTTGATCAGTGGGATGGTTTTATTGGTTAGGCAGTTGATTAGTGGATCAGCTGGTGAGTTGGTTGATAAATGAGTTGGTCCGTTGGTTGATCATTCGTGTGGATGGTTGATCATCTGGTTGATCATCTGGTTCAATGGTTAACAAGTTGTTTCAATGATATGGTGGCTTGGTTGTTTCATCAGCTGATTGCGTGGGCTGCTTGGAAGATTGAAAGTTCAGTAAAAACAAATTGTTTTGCTGATGTACCTGTGTTGGCAGTGCTGCACAAGCACAGACAACAATAACAACTCAACACGGCCAGTATCAGTATGAAAGGCGACGTTTCGGGCAGTCGTCCTTCTTCACAGCACATAGACAGGTGAAGCAGAGGGCCATTGCCTGAAACGCTGCCTATTACGGTACTTTTTTATTTAAAGGCCAGTGTTATTGACGAATGTTGGAGTATTATTTTATATTTAGTTATAAGTTAGCCCACGAGAGGGCAGTATAGGATCAGGGCTCGATCTCAAAGAGAGCACGTGGCTTCGTCAATGGACGATCTCAAAGAGAGCACGTGGCTTCGTCAATGGACGATCTCAAAGAGAGCACGTGGCTTTGTCAATGGACGATCTCAAAGAGAGCACGTGGCTTCATCAATGGACGATCTCAAAGAGAGCACGTGGCTTCATCAATGGACGATCTCAAAGAGAGCACGTGGCATCGTCAATGGACGATCTCAAAGAGAGCACGTGGCTTCGTCAATGGACGATCTCAAAGAGAGCACGTGGTTTCATCAATGGACGATCTCAAAGAGAGCACGTGGCATCGTCAATGGACGATCTCAAAGAGAGCACGTGGCTTCGTCAATGGACGATCTCAAAGAGAGCACGTGGCTTTGTCAATGGACGATCTCAAAGAGAGCACGTGGCTTCATCAATGGACGATCTCAAAGAGAGCACGTGGCTTCGTCAATGGACGATCTCAAAGAGAGCACGTGGCTTCGTCAATGGACGATCTCAAAGAGAGCACGTGGCTTCGTCAATGGACGATCTCAAAGAGAGCACGTGGCTTCGTCAATGGACGATCTCAAAGAGAGCATGTGGCTTCGTCAATGGACGGCTTCTCTCCGCATCACTTGACGGCAACGATAGAAGCCATTATTGTTTATAATGATCGCTATCAATATTGCTTAAAACAAATGGCTATCGGTTTCAAACAATAATGTGACGTGCTCTATACTTTCGTACGACATATACAGAGCGACTGGTCAACCATTTTGACTTGCGTGCATATTGTTACCGGCGTTCCATTCGGTGGCATCGGAAGTTGCTGAGCACGCAGCGTTTGTACCTCTTGTGCAAGCAGATGCACGTAAGTGTGTTGGACTTCCTTTCGCACCGCACGTAGCCAGCCGTGCCAATTGGGTTACGCAATCGTCAGATCTCAACTTTGCCACGCTCACAATAGAGGCGATGGTCGGTTGTGCAATGACCGAAAGGATAACAACGTCGGCACATTCGCAAAGTTAGGTCGACACTTTAATTTCCCCCGCGTGTGAAGGGAATAAGCCCACAACTGCAGGGGCGTCGTTTCAAATCATGGAATTGTAACGTTATTGTGACATCATTGTGACGCTGTTGTGACGTCATTGTAGCATTAAAATTGTGGCCGGGCGTGGCGTTGGCACAATCGGGAGCAGAAGTGGTGCATCTGCCATTCATCTCAGCCAGGCAACCCATGGCCCCTTGGGTCTGTACCGTGACCCCCCGCCAGCGAGTCTTGGACACTTCACACGATGTCCTCAAAGCGCACCTAGCCTCGCACGAGCGCCGTGGTGAAGTCACCACCACTTTGGTGGTGAATTGGCAGCTCTTCTCGTTGTTTCTGGCCGCTCATCCCCGCGTGTGCCGTTTGACGGCCTTCATAGGTGCTCCGCTAACAGCACTTGCCTCCCAGAGTCTGCTGAACGCTATATGGCGGGGACCTTTGTCTTTAGTTTTACAGTTTGGAGACAACAACAACCGCCATTCGCCACTAAGTGGCGGTGACGACATCGCACACACACACACGCACACACGCACGCGGTGCGTTCCGTCTCCACGTGTCCGTGTTTCTTCGGGTGTGGCCGCACACTATTTGCTGGTTATTCGCTGGCGGCAGGCTTCGTGTGTGGAATTGTGAAGTGGTTGGTAACAATTTCATCTTCTCCGTGAGACGTCGCACAAATGGGCCCTCCTCGCCTCCGTTATTTAGTTCGGGCTGTTTAAGAGACACATCAACAACAACAACAAATTACCATCTTTTTTTTTAAACAGTTCACGAATAATCGGGCAGTCAACAAATATTACTTGTCGAGCATATTGTATATACTTGGTATAATACGTCAACAATTTGTCAAATTTCTCCCAAATTTATTCCGATTGTTCCGCGATAGTGGGTCACGTCATGGGATGAAGACTCCATTCGGAAATCTCGCAGAGCAGTGCCAACCATCTGTGTTGCCGGAGACCGGCCCGCAGAAGTGAATCTCGCAGAGCTACCTCTGACGTTCTTTCTTTCTCCCACGTGGGAGTAATATTCGCCGCACGACGGTCAAACCGGTATTTAGAATGATCTCAGCTGCAATGTGGCCACGTCGACCTGGTTAACTTGACCGTGCTGAGACCATGAAACTTGAGAACCCGGCTTAATCACAGGCGACTTGAAACCTGGAATCGAACTCAATGATTTCAGCGATGCTCGCTCAGCGCTCTGACCCAACCCCGTAGCATCGGACGTGGCGGGGAGGGGGGATGGGGGGGGGGACGAGGAGGGGGGCAGCGGAGGGCTGAGCCATGCCCTGGTCAATGCTCAACCCCTCTTGGAAATGACTGCAATCGAGGCCGGATTATCACTCGTTCCGTTGCGCCTCTCACGTGAGTTTAAGCAGTGCCGGATTAAGCGAGTGAAGAGCCTGTAGCATGATGTTATAAAGGGGCCTTAAATAAATAAATAAACACGTTAAAACACATAAATTAACTTGTATAGTAAAGTAATTGGATTTTTTCATTTGCTATACAGCCAGATAACATGACAAATCGATAACCTTAAACACCCAGTCGTTCATACAAGTTGAAGGCGGTATAGTACTATAGTAATAGAGCAAGTGCAGAATCACTGAACCGGAATTGATAGCTTGAAAGCATTTAGCGCGGGGCCCTTGAAAGTGCGGGGCCCGTAGCATCCGTAGCTACTACATCCGTAGCGACTTGTGCTACTAGGATAATCCGGCACTGAGTTTACGGGTTGCTTAACAGTGACTATGCTGCGGGGGGGGGGGGAGACACGCAAGGGAGTGGGGTGGAATCGTCGCCACAACAGAAGCAGAAACAGCAGCAGAAGCAGAGAATGGGCAGTGGTGATGATCAGGGGCTCAGCCACACTGGGGAAATTGAGGCCATCTGGCACGCTCTCCCTTGTGATATGTTAACTACCTCGCGTGGCGTAAAGGTGGTCGTGGGTTCCATCCCGATCATGACGCCTTTTTAATATCGAGTTTGCGTCTCTCTCTCTCTCTCTGCCTGTGGTCGCGTGGATTTTTCTCCTGGTCCTCCGGATTATCCCCCGCTCCACATTTAGAATCAGCATCGCGCGTGCAGAGTGTATGGCTGCTATACATTTCCACGTGATGATAAGCCACTTCGATAGCTAGGTCGTTCCTGAAAATTGTTTTATATATCGCCCAGCGGGGCATTTACCTGGTAACAATATTAAATAAATACTTGCATCTCCGCAGCCGGCCCTGGCATAGTTCGGTTTTGCGGTGGAAAAAAATGTATTAGCCCTATCTGGAGAAGCATTCTGGGGGGAGGGGGTGCCCTGACCCCCACAGTGGCTGAGCCCCTGGGCAGGGACCGAGGAGGAACAAGTTGAGAGGGTACTTACACATAGACAGGCTTTAACTGTAAGTGTGAAACTTTCTGTGGGGAGTGGTAGGCTGTGTATGAATGGAATCCACCTATGAAGTCAACTGGGTCAGAGAGAGAGAGGAAGGAAGAAGGAAATAAATAACTAAACGAATAAAAGAAAATCGGAGAAGTATTTTAGCGTAAAAATAAAAAATGTTAAGAGTGAAAATAGGTTTGTAGGGATGTAACGATTTCTGTCACTCGGTGATCCAATGGATTTTGACAATACGACAGGAGACTTATTTGTGATGATTGTTGTTATCGAGTACGCGGCATCTATATACTGCACTGGTTATGATTATATCTCGAAAGTGGTATCAATCTATAGGGATGTGATAACACAGCTCCTTGATCACTCCACTGCTGGATGAAGACCTCCTCCATGAGGCTTCTAGAATGGGGGAGGCCTTCAATCAGCAGTGGATTGACAAACATATTTTAAAAATCATTTACGGTAAAAAATTATATACACTGTTATTTACTTATTAATATCAAGCTGTAGTTTTTTGTTTTAATCAAAAGCATGAACCGTGATCATGCAAAACTGAGTTCAATCGACAAATAGATTAATCGTTACATCCCTAGGAGCAGAATATTGTGGGAGGAGAGATGGTAGAGGCGGGGAGAGACGAGGGGGAGAGACGAGGGGGAGAGACCAGGGGGAGAGAGAGAGGGAGGGAGGGAGAGATGAAAGGGAGAGATAAAAATGGAGAGATGGGGAGAAACTTAGAGATGTGGAATCCCTGCAGACCAAATAACGAGAGAAACAGAGAGACATTGAAAGGGGAGAGAGGGAGTCATTGCAAGAGAGAGAGAGAGAGAGATTGGATAACAGTCACAACACACGACCCCGACCATTCAGAGTAGGGGGGGGGTGGGGGTCTCTACGAGTCCAGAATTCCGTGCCACCCTCTGCGAGATGGCAACCACTGAGTACTGCCCGTTGGCGCGTGCCTCGATAAATACAATTTGTTTATTTTTCATTGGTTTTGCGACGCCATGCTTATTATTCAAGTCTCGGTGACTTCCTGCTCGAATGAACATCGAGCCCCGCAGAGAGCGGTGGAAATTCCGCATTACCACGGCAGGGGCGAGTATAATATCATCATTGGACAGCAGTCTTTTGACATTCGCGCAATGCGCTGCTCATTTTGGAGCGACGACGACGATGATGATGATGATGGTGATGATGATGGTGATGATGATGGTGATGATGATGATGGTGGTGATGGTGATGATGGTGATGATGATGGTGATGATGGTGATGATGGTGATGATGGTGATGATGGTGATGGTGATGATGGTGATGATGGTGATGGTGATGATGGTGATGATGCTGTGCCGAGTCAACCACCCCAACCGGGGTGTTTGCTCGCGAAAACCTCCTTGTTGCGAGCGACCTCGCTCCACGACGGAGCCACCGGGTCTCTCGCTGGCTCAGTGGGTCGGCAACACGAGGCTTCGAGACGCGTGCGGCTCTTTAAGGAACTGCTTCGTGACTCTGCGTTATTTACTCAGGGACCACCGTCTCCTGTTCACCAAAGTGCATCGCGGCTCTTGAAATATATTTTGGCGGGGTTTTTTAATCTGAATTCCAAGATTAAATGGCTCGTTGTTATTTCAATTGCAGAGCCCTGCACTGACTCATTCAGCAGTACGGCTATTGCCGCTTGCCTGGGCTCGCGGACTCATTCGGGTTTGCAAATTAAAAATTTTGTGTGCGATTAATTTGATGCTCATTTTTTTGTGTGTGATTTAAATGAATAAAGCAAACTGGTGCTCGAGTAGAAATTGCACGCAGGAATTGTAGTTTGCGCGCGTGTACGTGTGTGTACGTGGGTGTAGGTGAGTGTACGTGTGTGTACGTGGGTGTAGGTGAGTGTACGTGTGTGTACGTGGGTGTAGGTGAGTGTGCGTGTGTGTACGTGTGTGTCCGTGTGTGTACGTGTGTGTCCGTGTGTGTACGTGTGTGTCTGTGTGTGTACGTGTGTGTCTGTGTGCGGTGGAGGGAGAGCAGTGGTGCAGCGGTTAGCGTGCCGCCCTACGGACCTGGCGGCCAAAATTCGATTCCCGCTCACGACCACGAACACCGGTGACGATTATCTGAACCCTTAATGGGCCTCCCCTAGGTCAACTCAGCCTCAAATGAGTACCTGGTGCGGTGTGTAAACATCGCCATTGGGGAAACAAAAGCGGCCGGGCTTGGTGTTGGCCACCCATCACTTGCCCCAACAGTCTGCTAAGGTTTTACGGGGGATATTTGTCTTTGTATTTGGCAGTCAACTAAATCAGTCAACCCATGGCACCTGGGTCTGTTCCGCGACCTTCTTCCAGCGTGCTTTCGACACTTCACAGCCTCGAAGTGCATCGAGCTTGGCACAAGCACCGTGGTGACGTCAGCGGTTATTGTTGTTGTTTTGAGAAAGCAGTTGCCATGGCGACCCCATGATGAGTAGGGTTGCCATCTCTGGGAACATCACGGCATGCGGGGAGATCGCGAGTCGGGCAATGTTATTGGTATTGCGCAACCGACAAAAAACCGGGACTTTTAATGCCCAGTGAAGACTGAGAGATGTTCCCAGTGCAGCAGCAGCAGCCCCCTCAACAACCCCGTAACGTTGGGCCAACGTTGGCAATCGGTTGGAACCGTTGGATGAACGTTGGTCCGACGTTGGCATATTTACTGGGAAGAGGACGATCCAGGGGAAACCAGGGCAGATGGCAACCGTAGTAACGAGCAGCTGCGTTGCACTGCAGGACGCGGGGAGGAGTGACGCGGGGGTGGGGGGGAGTGACGCGGGGGAGGAGTGACGCGGGGGGGAGGATGACGCGGGGGAGTGACGCGGGGGGTGGGGGGGAGTGACCCGGGGGGTGGGGGGGAGTGACGCGGGGGAGGAGTCACGTGGGGGGGGGTGATGTAGGCAGGAGTGACGCGGGGGGTGGAGTGACGCGGGGGGTGGAGTGACGCGGGGAGGAGTGACGCGGGGAGGAGTGACGCATCACTTACAGCTGTCTTCTTCTTCCGTGATGACGCTCACGACGTAGCAAGAGTAGACGAATCCGAAGAGCTGCGGGACAGCGACACACGGGGCAGATGGACAAACAACACGAGAGGGACATCAACGAGACAGACGATGAGAACGAAGCGGACGAGACACGCGATGAGACACGCGGTGAGTCGAGCGGCGCGATGGTGAGAGTCTTTGTCTGCGGGTGGCTCGCACGGGCGCTACTGGCGCTGCTGCTGCTACTCGTGCTACTGGCGCTAGTGCAGTTCATGCTGTTGCTGCTGGTGGTGGTGCTGGTGGTGGTGTTGCTGGTGCTGGTTGTGGTGCTGGTGGAGGTGCTGGTGGTGCTGGTTGTGGTGCTGGTGGTGCTAGTGGTGGTGCTGGTTGAGGTGCTGGTGGTGCTGGTGGTGCTGGTTGTGGTGCTGGTTGTGGTGCTGGTGGAGGTGCTGGTGGTGCTAGTGCTGGTGCTGGTTGTGGTGCTGGTGGTGCTGGTTGTGGTGCTGGTGGAGGTGCTGGTGGTGCTGGTGATGGTGCTGGTGCTGCTGGTGGTGGTGCTGGTGCTGCTGGTGGTGCTGGTTGTGATGCTGGTGGAGGTGCTGGTACTGGTTGTGATGCTGGTGGTGGTGCTGGTGGTGCTGCTGGTGGTGCTGCTAGTGGTGGTGCTGGTGGTGCTGGTTGTGGTGCTGGTGGTGCTGGTTGTGGTGCTGGTAGTGGTGGTTGTGATGCTGCTGCTGCTGCTGCTGGTGGTGGTGGTGGTGGTGCTGGTGGTGGTGGTGGTGGAGCTGACCGCAAGGAGGATGTGGACGCCGCTGTGCAGCACCTCGAGGTAGGGGTACTCGAGCAGGCAGCCCGACACGCGCAGCAGCACGTGGCCGTCCGGGGCCGACCCGTCAGGGGCACGCCCCTCCCCGCCCTCGCCCCCCACCGAGGGACCCCCCAACACGGCACCACCACCGCCTCCTCCTCCTCCGCCGCCTCCCACGGCCAGCACGGGTGCCGAGTCCACCGCCTGGGCCACACAGCCCGGGCCGTGCTCGAGGAACCAGGAGCGGTGGCGTGACGCGGTGAAGGTCAAATAGTCGCCACCCTGCGTGGGTCGCCCAGAGGGTGGTTGGGGGTGGTTCGTTAAAAAAAAAAACGTTCACGTCGTCTTCATCTTTAAATGATTATGTTGATAATAATAATTATGACCACGATTATCATTATTATTATTGGTAGAATTTCAACTCGTAACGCTCCGTCATCGCGAGTGAGGAGCGATGAGAGAGAGAGAGAGGGGGCGACTCAGAGAGAGAGAGGGGGGACGACTCAGAGAGAGAGAGAGGGGACGACTCAGAGAGAGAGAGGGGGGACGACTCAGAGAGAGAGGGACGACTCAGAGAGAGAGGACGACTCAGACAGAGAGAGGACGACTCAGTGAGAGAGAGAGGACGACTCAGAGAGAGATAGGACGACTCAGAGAGAGAGAGAGGGGACGACTCAGAGAGAGGGGGTGACTCGGAGAGAGAGAGAAAGTACGACTCAAAGAAAGAGATGAATCGGAGAGAGGACGAATCAAAAAGAGAGAACGACTCAGAGAGAGAGAGAACGACTCAGAGAGAGGGTGCGACTCGGAGAGAGAGAGAGGACGACTTAGAGAGAGAGGCGACTCAGAGAGAGAGAATGACTTAGAGAGAGATAGAGGACGACTCAGAGAGAGGACGACTCAGAGAGAGAGAGGAGGACTCAGAGAGAGAGAGGACGACTCAGAGAGAGAGAGAGGACGACTCAGAGAGAGAGGACGACTCAAAGAGAGAGAGAGAACGACTCAGAGAGAGAGAGGACGACTCAGAGAGAGAGGGCGACTCAGAGAGAGAGGACGACTCAAAGAGAGAGAGAACGACTCAGAGAGAGAGAGAGGACGACTCAGAGAGAGAGGACGACTCAGAGAGAGATAGAGGACGACTCAGAGAGAGAGGACGACTCAGAGAGAGAGAGGACGACTCAGAGAGAGAGAGGACGACTCAGAGAGAGAGGACGACTCAGAGAGAGAGGACGACTCAGAGAGAGAGAGGACGACTCGGAGAGAGAGAGGACGACTCGGAGAGAAAGGGAACGACTCAGAGGAGTCAGGAGGAGGAATTACTGATGAGCGGGAAGGCAGCAGCAGCTTTCCCATCTTCATCATCAACATCGACATCAAAATCATCATCAATGAAATTCTAAATCCCAGGTCGCCCTTTACAAAAGAAAAAAAACCTCCCCCCACGCTCGCCTTCCCCCACGTCCCCCTCCCCCCCACGCCCCCTCCCCCCACGCCCCCCTCCCCCCACGCTCGCCTCCCCCCATGCCCCCCATGCCCCCCTCCCCCCACGCTCGCCTCCCCCACGCCCCCCCTCCCCCCCACGCCCCCCTCCCCCCACGCTCGCCTCCCCCCCACGCCCCCCTCCCCCCCATGCCCCCCTCCCCCCACGCTCGCCTCCCCCCATGCCCCCCTCCCCCCCACGTCCCCCTCCCCCCACGCTCGCCTCCCCCCACGCCCCCCTCCCCCCACGCCCCCCCTCCCCCCACGCTCGCCTCCCCCCATGCCCCCCTCCCCCACGTTCCCCTCCCCCTATGCCCCCCTCCCCTCACGCTCCCCTCCCCCCATGCCCCCCTCCCCCCCACGTCCCCCACGTTCCCCTCCCCCCATGCCCCCCTCCCTCCACGCTCCCCTCCCCCCATGCCCCCCTCCCCCCATGCCCCCCCCCAACGCCCCCTCACGCCCTCCCCCCAGCTCACAATCCCTTTGATCATTTCCGATTGCAGGCGATCCGAGCGCTGTACAATAATCCAAACAGATTTCATTCTTCTTTGTTTTCTGTCTGCACAACCTCCGCCCGCCATTATATTGCAGTGGGGGAGGCGGGGGTTACATTAAAAGTCAAAGGCGCAGCCCCTGCAAATGCTTGCTCACGCCTATGCCGACAGGATGTGACCTACACTCTTGGCCTACTCTTCCACACTCGTCAGACGTCTCTACCAGATATGTCATAATAATGATAACATCTCGTCTCATCTCGAGTTATACGTATACAATGCGCTTTACAACAGTAATCTATATAAGACCTTAGTTTGTACATCTCAATAAACCTCGGGGGGCACTTTCCGACAAGGTAAAAAGCTGAAATGTGGTACATCGGTACCTTTGAGGACACACACAACATGACTAATCTGAAAATCCCAGATTTTTTATTTTAAGACCCCCCCTAAATCTCGATTTTCAGCGCAATAAATAAACAAGTGTGTGCGTGGTGTCATTCAGAAACCGTTCCAAATATAAGATTGTGGGTGTTATCGTTTGACAGCGCGTTACACAGCAAATACAATTAAAGCGATAACCATTCTATATTTTTTTATTGTTTTTCAGATATATCGGATTCAAGCGGTTTTGAATGACAAAATCCGCATTTTATGATCTCCAAATCTGAATAATTCGAAAACTATAAAAGATAGGAGAGCTTCCCCTCACAGTATATTAAATTCATGCATTGTTGTTCTTTCTAATGAGAAATGAACGGGATCTTTCAATTGATCGGTTTCCTATGTGTTCGTTTTTAAATGTAAGAAGTTGAATGAAGTCGTCAACAATTTCTGTGTTTTTTGGGGAAACATAAAAATGTTTGGAGTAGTTAGTGTCTGATCGTAGACAAATGGACAATTAATATTTATATTTTAAAAACATTTAAAGTTTAATACAGCTGTCACTACATGACATATGCAATGACATATATACAGTACTCAGTGTCAGATTTATTTAGTGGAACGTTACTTAAACATTATTTTACACAAATCTCTATTCTTTTTAACACGTAGAAGGCTTTTGCGACCAATATCATCCATAATAAAGTTTATTTTCGTTTAGATCGCGTAAATATATAAATGTGTCGTTAAACCCGCCACCACCCGACACAGCCGATTAGTAAGGGGTGTGTCACGTAAACAGAACGTGGCCAATTCTTCACTAGTACAGCACGCCGGTGTGTTGGAGAGTAAATACACAACATTTACAATCTGAGTTGTACGACGTTTCGCCAGTAATTACAACTCGCACCATCAAGCGGACTGCTAGATTTGTGAGATTTAACAATTTTTTATTTACTGAAATTTGGCGATAACAACGAATGCAACTATGAACAAAACATATTTCTTTAACTTTTGCCTGGCGAAGACAGGCTTTGGTTAACCATTTTGTACATGGAATGATAGCGGTTAAACTTCGAGAGTGTGGCTATGAAAAGTGTTGGTGTTAGTTATGGTGACAGGGAGTGGTTACGGAGGGGTTGGGGTAAGCCTGCTCGCAGCTCGTGCTGTGCCAACGGCTCGTGCATCACAGCGAGAAGTGCATCGGTTTGATTCCCGACTCGGGCGCATTGCTCCGTGTGGCGTTTGTACGCTCTCTCCATGATCTGCAGAGTCTGTACGTATAGGTATGTGTTTGTGTGTCTGTGTGTGTGTGTGTGGAGCGGTTGTGGAGGAGTTGGAGGCGCTGCTGCTGAACCTGGAGCGTGCCACTAAGAGGTGGGGCCTTACCATCAGCCGCACCAAATCTAAGCACCTGCCTGGGTATTTTGTACCATCGGACACTCCACCCCCACAACTCCCAATCGGTGATGGAGCAGTTGTGGAGAGAGTGGAGAGTTTCCCATACCTGGGCAGTGTGCTCATGACCGGCTCCGGTTTGACAGCAGAGGTCTCACTCCGAATCAGTCGAGCGGCATTATATTTTGATCGGTTGCGTAACGCTGTGTGGAAGCTACCAGGTCCGTCGCTCCACATAAAGCTTCAGGTCTTCTCGGCCACAGTCATTCCCTCCCTTTTCTATGCTTGCGAAACGTGGACCCCCCTAATGGAACATCTTCGCCTATTACAAACATTTAGGCTGGCCTGCCTACGATCCATCCTGGGTTTAACCAGGCTGGATTGTGTGAGCTCACAAATGCTTGAAAGATCTGGACAAACTCACATCGATGAGCTCCTCCGACAGGCAAGGCTGCGTTGGCTGGGCCATGTAGCCTGCATGCCCAGCCACCGCATGCCGAAACAGCTTTTGTTCGGCCGGATAGAGGGGGCTAAATGGGCGTGGCACGGGCTAGAGAAGAGATGAAGTGATGTGGTACAGGAGGACGTGGAGCTGAGTGGACTTGCCGATGACTGGTACCAGCGGTGTCAAGATCGGCCTCTGTGGAGGAGGCTTGTGAAGGACGCTACTGGGCAGTTGGAGGCAGTCGCCCTCCAACAACAACGGAGGGCGGAGGAGCGACGCTCACAACAACGAGCGGAGCGCCGGGTGGCTAAAGCACAGCAGGTTGGCACAGTAGGGGGCACAGGTGGTGCATCAGCCAGTCATCTCAGTCATCTCAGTCAGTCGATCCGTGGCATCTGGGTCTGTCCCATGACCTACTGCCAGCGGGCGTTCGACACTTCACGTGGCCTCAACGTGCACATGGCCTGGCACAAGCGGCGTGGTGACGTCACCGCCACTTGGTGACGTCACCGCCACTTAGTGGCGAATGGCGGTGGTTGTTGTTGGGGCGGTGGTGTAGCGGTTAGCGCGCTGCGCTACGATCCCGGCGTTTCGAGTTCTATTCCCGCTCACGGCCACCAACACCGGTGATGATTAACTGAACCGGTCCTGGGCCTCCCCGTAGGTCGACTCAGCCTCAAATCAGTACCTGACGCGGTGTGTAAACATCGCTGCTGGGGAGACAAAGGCGGCCGGGCGTGGTGTAGGGCAACCCACGTGTGTGCCGTTCCGGCCTTCATAGACGCTACTCGCTAGCAGCACTTGCCCGAACAGTCTGTTGAGGTTACAAGGGGGATCTTTGTCTTTGCCCCACGCGCGCGCACTTCTGTCTCGGGGCTCTGGGAGCTAACGAGTAAGTCGGCACGTGCCGAGCGGCAGTGGTCACGTGCCGAGCGGCAGTGGTCACGTGCCGAGCGGCAGTGGTCACGTGCCGAGCGGCAGTGGTCACGTGCCGAGCGGCAGTGGTCACGTGCCGAGCGGCAGTGGTCACGTGCCGAGCGGCAGTGGTCACGTGCCGAGCGGCAGTCGTCACGTGCCGAGCGGCAGTGGTCACGTGCCGAGCGGCGCGGCGCTTAATTAGCGCGGTCCCCGCTGCGCGTGCTGCGTCTGCGGGTTTCATATTTCTTGGGGGGCGGGCGGGGGAGGAGTTGAGGGGGTGAGTGAGGGAGGGGGAATACGAAGAGATATTGAGGAGGGAGGGGGTGTCGATAAGAGGATGGAAGAGTTGGGTGGAGGAGTGGGTGGAGGAGTGGGGTGGTGGAGGAGGGGGTGGAGGAGGAGGTGGAGAAGGGGGTGGAGGAGGGGGTGGAGGAGTGGGGTGTAGGAGTGGGGTGGAGGAGGGGAGGAGGGGGTGGAGGAGTGGGGTGGAGGAGGGGGTGGAGGAGTGGGGTGGTGGCGTGGGGTAGGGGTAGGAGGAGTGGGGTGGAGGAGGGGGTGGAGGAGTGGGGTGGAGGAGTGGGGTGGAGGAGGGGGTGGTGGAGGAGGGGGTGGAGGAGGGGGTGGAGGAGTGGGGTGGAGGAGAGGGTGGAGGAGGGGGTGGAGGAGTGGAGGAGGAGGGGGTGGAGGAGTGGGGTGGAGGAGGGGAGGAGGGGGTGGAGGAGGGGGTGGAGGAGTGGGGTGGAGGAGGGGGTGGAGGAGGGGGTGGAGGAGGGGGTGGAGGAGGGGGTGGAGGAGTGGGGTGGAGGAGGGGGTGGAGGAGGGGGTGGTGGAGGGGGTGGAGGAGTGGGGTGGAGGAGGGTGGAAATGAAGGGGAGGGGGGATTAATCTTGTTGGTTCTTTCGGTAAAGTCACGTAGAATGAGAATGAGAGGGGGGATGGCGGTCCGGCCATTGGCGGCGATGAGCAATTCAACAAAGCAAAGAAAAATTAACCAAAGCTTAAGGGGATCCAAGTAGCTCAAGGGGCCTCGGATTTATGACAACATCATAGGGCGTATGAAATGCCAAAAGGATGATGGGAAAAGGTGGAGGAGGAGGATGGTGGAAGCTGGAGGTGGGACAGCTGCTGGTGGCGTGCTCGCGATGGGAGGAATCGAGGCGTGAGATGTTCGCTGCTGGCGGGATGTTCCCGACGTGGGGGGAGGGGGGTGTGGATTAGAGGGCGCGTGTGGTGCTGCATTAAACACGCGGTGGGGGGGGGGGGCTCAGGGGCTCGGCAGACGCCGCGAGGAGATTCCTCGCCGAGATGCACCGACAGCGAGACGCACGCACACAACCAGAGACAAAATACCCCCCCCCCCCCCCGCACCACCGATAGCCTCAACGGACTGTTGGGGCAAGTGCTGTTAGCGAGTAGGAGGTGGGTGGCCAAAACCACGCCCGGCCACCTTTGTCTCCCCAGTGCTGATGATTACGCACCCGCACACCGCACCAGGTACTGTACTCATTTGAGGCTGAGCCGACCCAGGGGAGGCCGAGGAGCGGTTCAAAATCTTCTCCACGCACTGTTACTGCTCCGTGAGTGGGCCATTGAACGCGGTTTGTAGTGCAGTGCGATAACCAATGCGTGCGTGTGTGTCACACCGTCTCACGCTGTGACACGCACACATGCACACGCAAGCACACACACACGCACGCACACGTAACAAGGATGTGCTCCAGATTTTCAGAATGATTCCAAATATCAGGCCGAGATACGAAACGTCGAACACTTTGTAATGAAAAAAAGGGTCGCGTGGAATGAAGTCGCGGGCCGTGCGGAATGAAGTCACGGCGGGCTGCTCACCTTGGTGAGGCCGCCCACCTCCAGGTAGAGGCAGATGATGAAGACGTTCCAGGCCACCCACAGCACGCTCCACGCCGCGTACTGCACACGCACAAACACAAAGATAACCCCCTCCCCCATGTGTAGCTCACAAAGAGTGTCGGGGCACACTCCGGAATGGTGGCGCATGAGGGGGCGGTGTGGCCAGAACCACGCTCAACCGCCTTTGTCTCCCCAGTGACGGTGTTTACAAACCGCACCAGGTACTCGCGTGAGGCCATGCACTGGTTTAAATATTCGCCATGCACTGGGCCGGTGAGTGAGCGAGTAAGTGTGCTAGCGAGTGATCACGTGAGTGAGTGCATACAAGACTGAGTGAACGAATGGGCGATTGACTGAGTGAACGAGTGGGCACGTGAGTGAGCGAGTGAACGAGTCGTCAAGTGAGTGAGTAAACAAGTGGGCACGTGAGCGAGCAAGTGATCAGGTGAGAAAACGAATGAGAGTGGGCACGTGGGTGAGCGAGCGAGCGAGTGATAAGATGAGGGAGTGAGTGAACGAGTTACCTAGCGAGTTGGTGAACGAGAGTGGGTACGTGAGTGAGTCGCTCACCAGCACGATGTAGCGGGGCCGGCACTGCACGGTACCGAAGAGGCCTAGGATAAGGAGGAGCACGTGGAGGAAGTTGACGAGGATGGGCGCCCACTGGTAGCCCAGGAAGTCGAACACCTGGCGCTCCAGCACGGCCACCTGCGGGGAGAGGATGGCGAGGCCAGGAACGTGGCCACGGAGATGATGAAACCAATAAAAAAAACTGATACCAACTATCACGACGTGTCGGAGGCAACACAAGCTTCCGTCTTCCACCTGAAGATGGAAGCTTGTGTTGCCTCCGAAACGTCGTGATTTTATTTTTATTTTTTATTTTGGTTTATTTCACCAACTAAACTATGAGACATGTTTTTTTTATTTCACCAAGCTATGTTGATCTGTTTCCGTAGCGACCTGGCTATCACGAATGATAGCTCAACGAAGTGGCTTGTTATCATCATCATCATCATCGCATTACAGCATCCACATACTCTAAACGAATAGAGATGCATAGAGACCCATAGAGATCCATAGAAATGCATCGAGACCAATAGCGATACATAAAAACACAGACTAAAATAAAACCAAACCATTTTTATTTTACCAGGTAAGGCCCACTCTGCTACGTAGCTCTTTGTCAGGAGCGACCTGGCCATCACAAATGATAACTAAACGAAGTGGGCTTATCACGTGGAAATGCATTGCAGCCAGGGTCGTGATTGAACCCACGACCTCCTGTGTACCAGGCGAGGTAGTTAACATCTCCTAGCCACCGTGGTGATGATGAGAGAGAGAGACACGCAAACTCCAAATATACAGCAGGCATCGTCAGGGTCGTGATCGAACCCACGACCTCCTGCATACCAGGCGAGGGAGTTAACATCTCCTGGCCACCCCAGGTCGCCTACAAAACAAACATTGTCCTTAATTTGTTTTTCTCCCACCCACCCATCGAAATCACAATTTGAGTTCTGATCACTTCACTTCCAATTGCATTTCCCCTGGTGTATTGAATATCCCCGCTTGTTTAAATATTCCCGTGGTGCTTTGGTGTCAACCTGTACACTGTATCCGTCCATGAGCTGCATTACGAAACCCAGCGACCCGAGTTGGGCTCCCACGCACGATCAATAATTAGCACGATTGGCTACGTACGGTGCGAAAGAAGTTCAACATACATACAATATCATTGGCCAATATTTTTAACCGCTCATGGGCCACCTCTAGGTCAACTCAGCCTCAACTGAGTCACCTGGTGCGGTGTGCACGCATCGTCATCGGGGGAGACAAAGGCGACCGGGCGTGGTGTTGGCAACCCACCCCCCTTGTGTGCCGTGCCGGCCTTCGTAGGTGCTGCTCGCTAACAGCACCTTGCCCAAACAGTCCGCTAAAGGCTACACGGGGCGCCTTCGTCTCTGTTGTGGACATGAGCGCGGTGAGTGTGATGCATGGGCTACGTCGTTCGTGGGTTAATTTGAGTAATTGTATCGTTTGTGAGTTTGATTCCCTCTCGGTTTGTATCGATTCACCAAGGGGTTATTTATCGCAGGGGGCCGGCGTCATTATCCCGAAGACGCTCAACTTGTTTGAACTTTAAGCGTGCGTCCGTGCCCAAGCTCGAGACGCGTGGTGCGCCCTGTCGGGAGCGGTGGCGCGGTGGTTTTATTTTATTTCACCTTTATGTAACCGGGTTAATAAAAGTAAAAGAAGACCCTTGAGGTTAAAAACCTCTATTGCGACGGGGGGGGGGGGGGGGGGGGACTAGCCCTGCGCTGCCAACCAGGCCCACCCGAGTTCCAATCCCGCTCACAGCCAACATCGTTCGACGTTGTATAACCGAACCGTTGCCTTGGCCTCCCGGGTGCAAAGCATCTGCACTGGAGAAACAAAGACGGCCGGGTGTGGTGCTGACCACAGCCCGCCCCGTTGTGCCGCGTCGTTCCGGCCTACGTAGCGTGCTCGCAAACAGCACTTGCCCCGACCGCCGGTGTAGGCTATACGGCGGCGGGTGACCTTTGTCTTTGTTGCGTGGCACCGTTTTCTGTTGGATCCCGTCCAGGGGTCGACAATCAAAATGACAAGAAGAGACGTTTTTGTTTGTTCGAATTCGACAACAACAACAACAACAACAAAACCCCCTCCGTGTTTCAAGAGGCGAAGAGCACTTGCGTGGTGGTGCATGCGAGACGGTGGTGGTGAAGAGGTAACGCGTCACGAACCATCATCCCTTTAAAGAACCGCGTGCGCCAGGCAGATTGCCGACCCGCGGGGCTCGTCCCTAAGAGCCACGCAGCTCAAGACTCAAGATGCATTGATGAGTGATCATCGTGCCCCTGCCCAGTACAGACAGACGGACACAATCTTTCTTCTGTCGTACGGCGGCCGCTGATGTGGATGACAGAGCCACGACTACAATTTCACATTGAAGGTGGTCAAGCCACAGATAACCTCGTCAGGAGCAAGCGGTGTGGTGTCGCTGTGATGATGTCTCCTTCTTCGTATGTGTGGATCGGACCATTGTGCCGTTGCACGTCGTGCCGCGGTCTGCTCTGGATGACCACAGTCGCACACTGCTGGGGGGTTTTTAAATGTTCCATTTGTACATCATCAGCTATTCGCGTCTGCTGCCATGGTTGGTGCAGCGGATGCGGTTTAGCGGTATGGACAATGAGCAGCTTCGTGGAACATCAAACCCCAGGGGGGATCTTCTGCATCGGATCTTTCACAACAAGGTGTGAAAGATCCATCCGCAGAGGCGAGCAACAAACTCCCTCGAGCAATGGGATTTTAGTTAACTTAAAAGAAAAATTCCGAGTTCATTCAAATGAGTCAACCTGCATGGATAACAACAACAACAACAACACTCCCTTGCGATGGAGGTGTCTCGTTTTTTTCCCCCAAGGATGCCCACCCAGGATCAAGTAACAGACAGTACGTGACTGCTCTATACATCTCCACACGACGATGAGCCATTTGGTTGCGCGGTCATCTACGGTCAGGTCGCTCCTGAGAAAGAGCCATAGAGCTCAAGTGGACCTTAACCTGGTAAAATAAAAAAAATAGTTTAATTTAAATTTAGACTTAAAACTTTCGTGGCTGCAGGAATTCATGTTCTTGGTTCTTTCGGTAAAGTCACGTAGATAGAAAACAAAAAATAAAAACCCACGACGTTTCGATCGCAACACCGACGTTTTACCCACGCCGACTGACTAGTGACTCCCGCACCCCACGTGGTTTAACACCGTAGCAGCCGTACAGTTTGTGCCCGCAAGGCAGGGCACGGTAATTCATTCCATTTCTGCCAGGATTCGGACTGAATTGACATTCTTTTTTTGCCACCATGGAAACTCCGGTTCACGTCTAAATATAAATGAACATGAATATAAATGTGAATGGATTTCCATGTGGGGTGGGGGAGGCTGTATATGGAATAGCGATGGCAATAGATGGCGCGGTGTCTCGAGGTGTGATGAACGCCGTTGAGAGTTCCTCCGTGAATGTCTCCGAGTTGGAGAGAGCGACGTTTATGATTCCACTGAGAAGGGAGTGACTGGGCCGATCGTAACAAAAGCAACAGTCCATCTCGCCCCGGCACGGACCAGCCGATTCCTTTGCTCCATCTCCACATTGGTTCTCGCCCCGAGCGGGGTTTCTCTCCTACGGCTGCCATTCCCTTGTTAGCCTTTCGCGAACGATGTTACGCATACTAGAGGTTATTCACAGGGTAATCAACATACATTATGGTAATGGGTATCCATTATAATTTATATTCAAATATTCACCACCCCCCCTGGCCTTAGCACCTGATTGGCTAACAAGTAAGGACATCACATTTATCCCTCTATTCAACACCGAAGCAGGAGGATTTCGACACAAATCTGGCCGTCCGCCTGATGATGCTCGTTGTAATTACTGGCGAAACGTCGTACTTGGATTGCAAATGTTGCGGGTTTACTCTCCGACACACCGGTGTGCTGAATTTGTAACGAATTGGCACGTTCTGTTTACGTGACAAAACTTGCTAGTTGGCTCTGTCGGGTGGTGGCGGGCTTAACGAGGCATTTTTATTCTCAGGATCTAACAAAAAAACCCCTCTATTCTGTAGAACTTTTTTCGCACCGTACGTAAACAACCGTGCTAATCGGAGGTGCTTAGGAAGGACAGAAAGCTAAACAACGCAAGCAGCTGTAAAGAAATGAGTTGCGTGTGCAGCGAGCCTCATGTCCCTGCAATCCAAGCTCCAAGGTGCGAGCTGATTCTGTACAACCTGGTGGGAGAATTCAAGAGACGAGGATACAAGTCTCATTTGCAAGAGTCACCGGAATAACTAGTACTATCCCCTAACTCTAACCCTCACCAACCAGCCACTAGTACTATCCCCTAGCTCTAACCCTCAATAACCAGCCACTAGTACTGTCACCTAGTTCTAACCCTCACCAATCAGCCACTAGTACTAACCCCTAGTTCTAACCCTCACCAACCAGCCACTAGTACTAACCCCTAGTTCTAACCCTCACCAACCAGCCACTAGTACTATCCCCTAGCTCTAACCCTCACCAACCAGCCACTAGTACTAACCCCTAGTTCTAACCCTCACCAACCAGCCACTAGTACTATCCCCTAGCTCTAACCCTCAATAACCAGCCACTAGTACTAACCCCTAGTTCTAACCCTCACCAACCAGCCACTAGTACTGTCCCCTAGTTCTAACCCTCACCAACCTGCCACTACTACTGTCACCTAGTTCTAACCCTCACCAACCAGCCACTAGTACTATCACCTAGTTCTAACCCTCACCAACCAGCCACTAGTACTATCACCTAGTTCTAACCCTCACCAACCAGCCACTAGTACTATCCCCTAGTTCTAACCCTCACCAACCAGCCACTAGTACTAACCCCTAGTTCTAACCCTCACCAACCAGCCACTAGTACTATCACCTAGCTCTAACCCTCACCAACTAGCCACGAGTATTATCCCCTAGCTCTAACCCTCACCAACCAGCCACTAGTACTAACCCCTAGTTCTAACCCTCACCAACCAGCCACTAGTACTGTCACCTAGCTCTAACCCTCACCAACCAGCCACTAGTACTATCCCCTAGTTCTAACCCTCACCAACCAGCCACTAGTACTATCCCCTAGCTCTAACCCTCACCA